CTTGGATGTCAACCTAAAACACAGCTCGGAAAAACTTGTGGGATTCGAGTTCATCGATGCCATTAATAAACACAGCTGTAAAGGGAGTTGAGACAGAATCATGAATAAGCAGAAAATGACTAAACAATCATTTATCTGCTGTATGGAAACGGCACTGCTGGAGCCTGAGCTCAAACGGAGCAACTTGCCAGCTTGAGAGTGCGAACTGGTGAAAGGTTTACATAGGAAATGAGGATGTTTGTGTTTGCATATAGACACAACTGACATTCACATATGCTCAGTGCACGTCTAATCAAAATGGTCCCGAATGGCAGCCTCTTCCTGTGTTTATTTGTAACAGAAAATCCCCACTGACTTTAGCAAGTTCAACCAACAAAGCTTTTTCGGCATCCTTACTCCTACGAAAAATATCCACTTGGGATCATATTTTAAAAAGAAACAATTTTGTTTAAATCAGGGAAATAAATGAGTGCATTTTACTGTGCAGAGGTTCTCTGTAAAGGCTGTCTGGCTTCAACACAAACGAAAAACTTCAAGTGTGTTTTCCTTGTAAAACTTGAGGCCTGGATCAGAGCAACTGGCTATTAAGACGTTAGTTCTGGTGAAAGAATTGACACATTCCACAGACCCACTACATAAAGCGTACTGTATGTAAATGTCACTTTTTACAACAGTTGGAGGCCATTTTTAATCTGTTTGCATGATAGAGAAAAGACAATTAAATGATAAGCAGAAGAAACAGGCAAGGAAAACCGTCAACCTGATCTGAATTTGCACACTTTGACTGTGAGGCATTGAGTCCTGCTGGATAAGAAAAGAAGGGACTACAAACAAACAGACAGAGCAACTGGAGGCTGGAGACTAGCTGAGATAGTCAGGTACATGGCTCGCCTGATCAATGGAAAAGAAACACATCTAACATTTACATATGTTCTTCCCATTTCCCCTTATTAGGAGCTACAAGCAAGGTCGCTGCCCAGCACAGCTGCACATGAGACAGTGTGGCAGAAAAGCTGGAATTTGACAAAGGCAGGCTATTTCTAGGATTCCCATAAATCTCTGGCAGCTACAACAGTGCTGCCTGGACACTACATTAGAGTTCCTGTGTTTTCCTCTTTTTAAAAAAATGGGCTCTGTCGTAGTATTTTTTCTCCTCTAACCAGCGTGGATCCCCTCTCTCTAACACACAAATACACAGAAAGAGCAAAAAAAAAAGAAAGATGCAATCTTGACCTCAAGTTACCCTTCACTCTTCAGAAGAACATCACACTTTCCAAATGAAAACGGACTATGCCCTTCTGTGGCTACTAATTTACGGTTAACACCTCATCCCAAATGTTCCATTCAAGACTTTCCTGGTGAAAAAGAGAAAGCAGCCGGCGTATGAAAGTATCTGACTTTAAGCGCGCCCTGACTGTAAATTCAAAAGTCCAAAAAGCAAAGTAACAAACAATAACAAGTGATGGTTTGAAATAGAAAAGTGTGAAAGCTTTCTATTGTCCTTGTGAAATAACATGAAACGGTGAAGTTGCGTGTGAACTGTTAGCAAGAGGTGAGAATTTCCTTTTGAGGTGTGAGCTTGAATAACATGGGCAGCCAGTGACACCTTAGAGCACAGAAATGCAACAGGTTGCAGTGTGTAATGCAAGGCTTTTAAAAAAAAGGTGTTTTGAGTGGGAGGACTGAACCTAAATGGGCCACATTTTTTTAGAATTTCTTTATCTAAAGTAGCAACATGGCATGTCACCCCTGTCCCAAAAAGAAAAAGAAAACAGCAGCCAGTCACTTTGGGATTATTTACTGAAACATCTCATCAGTCACTGACAAACAGCAGCCAGACAAGGAAAGGAGACAACACAAGCAGCAGTAAATCTAAAGCGGGCTATCATGACAAAAGCAGGACTGACTAACTTCCTTTCTACAAGTGCATTAACGTCACAGGAAAAATCACCCAGAGCCAGGGGTGTCGGACAGAACATACCGAATACAGAAGCCCCCTCTACCCCCCCAGGCAGGGTGACGACTGGGTGGGTCCAGACTGGACACTCTGTTCTAAAAGTCTGCTTGTGGCCTGAGGGAAAGAAGCAGTGACGGAGCAGATCCCCACTGTGGGAAAAAAAAAAAGACAGAGCAGAGCGTCCTGCTGTCATGTCTTTGTGTGTTAACTAATCAGAGGCGGCACACTGAGAGCTTGTCACGGTGTCACTGCAGGGGGCCCAACTGCCACTTGGCTGACAGACAGGGCATGGTGGTTCAACCTGGTCGTCACTTGGGTGGGCCCCGGGGAGCAGAGGAAAGGCAGAGCATGAGGATGAGTCAGGGAAGCACCTCTCATCTACAACCAGGCAGGCACCAACTGGAAATCACTTAAAGGGGACGAAACACTGATCCCAGTCAAGCAGGTGTGGCAAGTCGAAGCTAAAATAAGAATGATTGTGCCGATGCATGGGCAAAGAAAAAAACTATTTATAGAGGCTAGAATTTCAAACCAAAAGTTAAGACCCTCAGGCAAAGTCTCTTAATAAAATGATCCCCCGCCTCCTGCTGTAAATACATTTGGTACAATCTTTCAATGACGCCTATTGTGGAAGTGAGTAGGTTGTTGACTATGTGCTCTAAGTGTTGGTTGCACGTCACACTGGAGTCCCACAGGTCCCTCCTCTATGTGTCAAGTCCTACCAGTGACTTCATCTGTGTTTTTTCTCAAGGATATCCTTCTCTTTTCTAGGCACAATGAGGCAGCTTCCTGTTTAGAGAAGGCCCAGTCCAGCCTTCGCTCACTCACCCCGCCGTTCTGCCAGTGTCACATCAGTGGTTGGGATGACTCTCGTTTTCAGCTACCTCGATCGCTGTAGTGCCAGTGAGCAAATAATAAATTATTTAAAAGTGAGAAGGTGTTATTTATCTAGTCACTCATAATTACTGATGTGTCTTGAGGAACTTGACTAAAGTTTGGGGCCAGGAAAAATTGTTCAGAACAAAAAGTAGGCCTGTTTACGTACAAAACAGAGGGAACGCTGGAAATGCAAAAACAAAAGTCAAAATATGGCAAAAACATTTTAACGCTTGTTTCAATGAGCGCAAAATACAACACTGTGCAATGGAAACAGACTTAGCGAATAAACCATGATGTACGTAAAGCATGTGGTTTAAAGCTGGGCTAGGCAATTTATTTCAGAAGCATTTTCTGTTATATGTGTTGAAATTATCATTAGATTCCAACAGCAATCAAAAAATCAAGTGTGCTGACACAAAAATGAAAAAATTATAAATAGTGGCTGTGGCTGTTGCATTGTAAAATGTGCCCCTGCACTCACATGAAAATGTGTTTTGGGGGAGTGGCTTTGGGGGAGGCCTGACGGGAGAAGGTGGGATTTTTTTTCACGGGGATACTAGTCTCTCTGCTAGTTCTCTAACGTTGCCTACCCTGGCTTTAAATGTAAACTGAAGCTTCCGCTCCACTGAAGAGACGGAATATGACAGGAGACATCATCAGACACGTCATCATTTTACATATATAAATATAGTGGATGGAAATGCACATCAATTGGCTTTTATTGCTAACTTTCTGGAACATTTTTGTAACATTTGGATGCAAACCTAGCTGAAGAAAAGCAGCCAATGCTCACTTGTCTGTCAGTTTTGCCTGAAAAATGGCTGAAATGATTAATGGATTAACTGATTTTGACATGACTTAATTTATAAAAATCTGTTGATCAAAAAAATCAACAAAACATTTTTTAAATGCACATCAAAAGCTGGCAGGTAAATTCAATTCAATTCAATCCAGTTTTATTTATATAGTGCCAATTCACAACAACAGTTATCTCATAGCTTACAGAAATAATGGATTTGGGGATTGGACCTGTGTGATCTTGATCTCTCTGGCTGTGTTTGCTGTTGTGATAGTGAATTTAGGTGGAGACTGCAATGAGATGGTGATTAAGTTAGGAAACACATTAACAATCTTAATCTCTTTAGCACTTTTCACATCACAAATACAAAGCAGTTTAGAAGGAAGACAAAGAGTAACAGGTAGGTGAAAGCCAGCTTAAGTCCCACTCCGCTCTGTCTTTTCATTTGTGTTTGACCTTCAAAGAGAATGATGAGTTGGACACAAGAAGGTTTTTCTGTTTTCTCTGTGCTCAACTTAAATGTGTACAGTATGACTTGGTGACATCAGACTAGAAACGGATCGTGGTTCAATATGAAACTTACACATGCGTGAAAAGTAAAATCCTCCAGTGCACAAAGAGCGATCACGGACTTTTCAGAGGAGACATTTTGTGACCAGCTGTTACACTTTTCAAATGAAAAACATTTGCTTTTTCATAGAGCCTGGACTTTACAATGAGCGAGAAGGAGTAAATGCAAATTAACTCCTGATGAGGTAATTGAACCTTTTGTGCAGAAATTACTATTCAAAGCAGAGTATTTATGTGTCTTAAAGCAAGTTGTGAAGGGATCTGTGAGGGGGGGAAAGACTTCTTACTGGCCTGTGTGCCAAAAAAGTGAATTTTTTTGATGTGTGAGCTAAAAGATAATTACAGATGAAGCCTATCTGTGTAAGTTATTTTCTGAAATCTGGGGTTTCTGGCCTGCAGAACAGACTCAGCCACACCGGTCTCACAAATTACTATTTTTCCACTGACAAATTCACTTGTGGTGTTTAGTTTTGAGTTTTCTTCTGAGTGGGATGGTTCTCTCTTATTAACCATGGGAGAGTGAGAGAGATGTCCCCATAATCTGACAAACCAGAAGAGCAACATAGAGCTGTGATGATCTGCAGCCATAATTACCCTTCCAAAGAATATTAATCCAAACCGACTAGCCAACATTTTCACAGCAGCCTAGCTGAACCTCAGGGCAAACTGATAAGGTGAGCATCTCACTTTCTTCCTCGTCTGTTGCAATGAAAAACGCAAACATATAATTTGTCACCGAGCTCTAATTCCTCTTGAGGGCAAATTCAAAAACAAAACTCAAGGGGTCAGGCGGAGGAGGGAAGAAAAACGTTGAAGGGCAAACACTGAAGACCAACCCACTACATGTTGAGTCCTGCCCTGCTCTGTTCCCACACTCACATGTCGCTGCGCAGCACTGAACGACTGAGCCCGTGTCCTCCTCTCCGGCCGTGGGATAGCTCCTTCTGCTGCTGCTGCTGCTGCTGCTGCTGCTGGAGCTTCACTGGATATTCACACGTTTTTACTGGTGCGTAGAAAAGTTTCGTTTTTAGTATGTTGGACCGATAAGATGCATAGAGAGGCGTGAAATGCGTCTGTGCTGCTCGTTAATACATTTTTAGTGACTTTGTTGTAGTGGATCATGTATCCCAACTCTTACTGTGTCTTTAAGCAGTTTGTTTTACTGTTTCTGCTACATGCCAAATAAAAGTGGATATTTATGAAAAGAAATGATTAACCAATAGGCTCATATGTCTGTAAGAGTTCAGTTTATACTATACATATACTTGTATATTTGGATAGATGCGTATTTACGCATAAATGAAAAATACATAGTTAGATATTTATAAGGTCCAGTATGTTTAATACTGTAGCCTATGTATGTTGGTTTAAATAAAGTCAGGCAGAAAAACACTGCCGCTAAGGTCAATAGATAAAATGTCCTATTTTGAATGTGTTTTCTCAGTTTACTCCCAATGAAGCCTGGACCCCCTTTTTGTCCTAGAAGTTCTTACTGCAGTGGTCATGTTCCATATAGTATATTATCGCTGTTATGTGCAATCATCTTTATGTATTCTGGATATCGGATATGGTTTCTAAATTAATTGAATAAGCTAATCTATTTCCCTGTCTTTAATTATCGTGCTTATTTTCTGGTATCAGTACTAACTTTGCTTCCCTCTTTTTTAATGCAGGCTGGCTCTGATCGCCTCCTAGTGCGCAGCCCAGGCACTGAAAGAATTTTATTTTGGGAGGAAAAATTCTCAAACCACAGGATATCCTATTTGACAGCATCAAAACCATCATTTTTCCCCCTGCCTACAACAGCTGACTGCTTCTGTCTTTTCAACCCCAAAGAAAGAAATGCCCAACCGGAGGACTTTATGACACCTAATCTGTGGATCTAATTATAAAAACAGAAAAGCTGAAGAAAAGGGAAAGCACTTATGGAAGCACCAACAATGGCCACAGAGTCCTCCTCCACAGCAAAACTACTTCATATGTTTAGTGAGTACCAGAGCAATGCAGTCATCTTAGAGCACTACAACTACACAGGCAAACTGAATGAGAACAAGTACAAGGCAGGACTCAAACCAGAGGCCATAGCTTTCCTGCTGGTCTGCCTGCTTATAGTGGTAGAAAACGCTGTGGTGCTACTGGCTATATGGAAGAACAAGAAGTTCCATGTGCCCATGTACTACTTACTGGGCAACTTGACTCTCTCTGACCTGCTCGCAGGTTTCACCTACATGGTGAACATCATAATGTCTGGCGCCAAAACATTAAACATGACCCCGGTGCTGTGGTTCCTGAGGGAGGGGGGTGTGTTCATCATGCTGGCCGCCTCGGTCATCAGCCTGCTGGCCATCGCCATAGAGCGCCATGTCACTATGGTGAGGATGAAGCCGTACCAGGGGGACAAACAGGGACGGATGTTTGCTCTGATTGGAGCAAGCTGGGTGCTGTCTGTGTTCCTGGGCATCCTGCCTGTCCTGGGCTGGAACTGTTTAGGACAGCTGGACCAGTGCTCCACAGTCCTCCCGCTCTACGCCAAGAGTTACATCCTCTTCTGCATCACTGTCTTCAGCGGCATCCTCATGTCCATTGTGGTGTTGTATGTCCGCATCTTCCGCATCGTCAAGTCCAACACCCAGCGCCTCGCTTCGGTTCCACAGCGCAAAGGCCTCTACCGCAAGTCCCAGAAGTACATGGCCCTGCTGAAGACAGTCACCATAGTCCTGGGAGTCTTCATCGCATGCTGGTTGCCCCTCTTCATCCTCCTGCTGCTGGACTTCTGCTGCCCAGCCAAAAGCTGCGAGGTGCTCCTTAAGGCAGACTATTTCCTGGGCATCGCTATGTTCAACTCCCTTCTTAACCCCATCATCTACACCCTGACCAGTAAGGACATGAGGAAGGCCATCCTCAGGCTCCTCTGCCGACACTGCCTCATAACAAAGGACGGACAGGTGAAGAAGATCGGGATGCCCTTCCTGGACTGCAGCACCAGTAAGACTGATGCAGCCTCTCACAGACTGGAGGGTCTGGAGACGACAGTGTCCTCCGGTAACTGTACACCCTCTACAATCAAAGCCATTTACCCCAGGATGTTGAAAACATGACACAGAGGCTCACACTTAACACTGAGAGCAAGTATTCAAATTAAGACCACTGTTAGGGCGTATCTCTGATCTGAGCTGCATTTGTGGTCCGGTGGAGCAAACAGGATATGAAGTTTTGTGTTGCACTCTGTCTGACTTTTGGTATTAATCCTCATGGACAGAAAAAGCTCAATGTATGTGATAATTGTCCAAATTGGGAGAAAAACATGAACTTTTTCAATCTTCTGTGCATATTTGCTTTAACAGTTTATTCATGAAAAACAGAAATTGAAAGTTTCTTGTAAAGTATTACATTACATTTGTCTTTCAGACACTTAAAACCAGTATTTGTCTGAGGTTATTTCCTCTGCGGAAAAAAATGCCATTTCATTTTATGGGCATTTGCTTTTGCACATAAGACAAAATCAAAGAATGTGTGCAGACATTTCACATAAACACAGCCAATTATGCTGTACATCAGATAGACCGGGGGATAAGGCTCAAGCACGACGAGATTTATCTTTATCTCCTCTCCCTGTGTAGCATATAATGATATGTTGTTAACACCGAGCATCCACACCCAAAGTCTGCTGCCAAACCATGTAATTTCTGCCATATGAGTTTTGGTCAGCAGCAAAGCTGGGTAGAGGTCCCCTCGGCAGAGATCAGAGGCTCAGCAGCCCAGAGACGCACTGAACACGTCATATGGAGGGTTGTGCTCAGCGGCTTGCAGCTTTGGAGGTCCCTTCGACATATGTAGCGACACATGATGAATGACTAAAAGCAATAAAGCTGACAGTGGAGGTTTGTTGATGCCTTCTTGGTTTAACAAACTAGAATATCGCTGTGATATGCTATAGCTTGTGGACAAAAATGAGTATTTTAAGCGTTCTTGTTGGAGAAAGATCCCCATGAAATGAATCTATGACAACCCAGACAACAGACTGTGTGGGCTTCAAAGGGGAATTTCATTGTGGTCATAGTGACATTTTGCCAATTGTAATATTGTACATAAATGTAAAAAGAAAACAAATCTATTTACTGATTTTTTTTTTTGGTATACTTTCTAAATGCTTTTTCTGAGCTTATCAAAGCAGCATTTTGTATTGTAAAAACATCACTTAAGTTATGATGCCACTTTTATATGTGCACTGAATAAAACATATGTGAATGATGTTTAAATGGAGGTTTGTACATCCTTTACTCACGCGAGTCATCCGATTCTGAGCTTTCAGTAAAGTTGGAGGGTTTCAGATCTCACTGATCATCACCTGTCATGCGCATTACTGCTAAACAATATACGTGTTGTTATACACGCAAACACAGTAAGATAAACTACAGACAAATTACATTCAAATATATTAACTCTGAAAATGTCAAAAATATATGATTTCTACATATTAAGAAGAGATTATTCCACACTAGTTTTATCTAATGAAGTCTCAATAATTGGTTGCTGATATGAAACAAAATGCTTTGCAAATACTGACACTGAGTTATTGGTATTTTATTCAGTTTTTCTTAACATTTTATACCATTATATACCTTACAGATGTTTATAATCAAAAGAACACTAGTTAACAGCAAGTTAAGCATTAAAAGTGAACCTAGTAAAACCCAAGTGAAAATTAGTTGTGCTTCTTTCGGACGTTGGATAGAACACTGAACACTGAACAGTGCAAACTGAAACCTCGACAGCTTATAGGTAACTTCAACGCCATAGCAATGAAAGTCAATATACAGATAGGGGCTCAATGTTGCCTTAGAACGCCCATCTCCATGCAAACCACGTGTTAACCACTTGATATCATGTGTGCCTGAAGAATAGATGAAGTTGCAGAAACAAGCTAGTGAAGCCGATCCTCTGTTTACCGTAAGGAAACCACATATTGGTGCACAATTCTTCCAAGTTATGGTACGTGTGATTATAAGCCTCGCCAACACAGAACGTCATCCTGCCCACTCTTAACCACTCACCATGCTGCAGTGGTACACAATCATAGCTTAACTCCCTTTTCAAAGAAGGAAAAGGTTTCAGTTCTCAGTAAAGCAGGTGGGTAAATAATAATACACATGCAGAAACACATCGTGGGCACCATCAGTGTTGCCTGGATAGAAGTTTCCAGCATCTTGTTCTCATTACTTAAATTATGCCACTTATTTTTGCTGTTTCACCGCCATCATGGCTAGATTTTCACAAATTAAAGGGAGATGGATTTCATGGTTTCATTTGGTACAGCTGCACTTACAGATGCCAGTGACAATAACGTTTTGGCAGAGGTTGTTTTCTAAATTAATCAGATTAACAGAGAACAATGCCAAACAATATTAAGTGTTAACCTGTAATCAACAATGTTACTTTTACAGAGTGTCTATTACTCAACTAAATTCAACACAATAAAAGCCATTATGATCTGATTATATCTCCACATATTTGTGATAGGGGTTAAAAATAAACCACAGCCATGTTGTACTTATCTTTTGTCAATTTTATATGTATGATTCTTGACCTGCAGTACTTGCTCTACCATTATCTTTCTTATATTTTTCTACCTGCTATGTTAATTGTTAAGCACCAAAGCAAAATCACTGTATGTACAAACTTACTTGGCAATAAAGCAGATTCTGATCTTCGGGAACTTTAGAATAACCATTAAGCTGAGTCAGTTGTCACCACATGTTGCAACCGACAGTGCAGCTAGTTAGTTAGCAAGCAGGCAGAGAAGCTGAAACAGTTTAAGTAATGAAACAAATGGTTGAAATAGATGGTTAAAAGTAAGGGTAAACAATTGAAATCAAAGTAATGAATGAAAGTAATGTTGCTGAAAGTAATGTTCACTTTTGGTACATGACATGTGGTGTTGGTGAAGGGTTATTGAGTTTATATGGCTGGGAACCACTAGCCTAAACTTTAGTAAACTAGTCTGACTAATCCACCTACATGCCTCCTCTAAATATTTCACTTCTCAGCAAATGTATTTTGCTCAGTTGTCATCATGTAACCCAAGTATGAAACTCTAACGAAACCAATATTTGAAAAACGGCATAAAGAGTATCTCTCTCGATCTCATCTGAGTGTGTGTGGGTTCAAAGGAAAGAAGCCATTTACACATCAACTCATTCAAATAGTTCTGCAGCGACATCTAGTGGTCAACACCCTCTCCATCCTCGTCTAACGCTACAAAATGTTCTGATGAATCCATTTTGCTGAAATACAATTAGAGACTGAAACTACTGGATCACAGGTCTGAGATATTTAATTTTTAAAACCAATCTAAATGCTGTATAGAACATAAAACAAATAAATGTACAGACAAACAAAAATAATGTACACAACATTTCTGTCACCACCGTCCTTCAGCTACCATTTAGTGCTGACGAAGGCCCACAGCTGGTCGCTTACGTCACTCCGAGGTCGCTCAGATGTGTCAATGTTGATGGGAGTCGCCAGGTCCGCACCATAGTGCACTGCAGGAGAAGAAAACAGATTGACAATCTGAAGCCATGTTAACAGACTCACATGCAATGACGCTACACACAAAATAATAAACAGAAAACAAAGCTGTACCTCCTTTTAAGATGTTCGGCTGCGTGTCATATTCCCACTTGATCTTGGTTACTAGGTAGTACACCTGAGCCACATACCTGTTGAGGGAAGATTAAAAACAAAAATCAGAAAATACATCAAAATACTTATGACTCTCAAACGTGACAGCAGTCACATGAGAACAGCGCAGGGGAGCGAAACAGACTACTGCAAAGGTAACTTGAGGATTTAAATGTGAAATTCTGTCCTTGGAGGAGCAGTGCATCGCTGTCTGGGAGTCTATTAAATCCTGTGCTTGAAAGTTTCCTTTCTGCTCAAATTTCAACAATGCGTGAAGAGATGACAGCATCAGCTTTATGGACGCAGTTAGTGGTAGCCACTGCAATCAGGGTGTGAATGGGGTGAATGTGACTTGTAGTGTAAAGCTGAGTGGTGGAAGACAAGAAAGGCACTATCTATAAGTCAGTCCATTTACCGTACCATTTAACGTTTGTTTTTGTTATATTTTCTTCAATAGTTCTGCCTATTAAATGTCAGAAATGAATTACAAATTCTCATTATAAATTAGGCCAGAGCCCAAGGTGATGTCTTCAAATGTCTTGTTTTGTCTGACTGTGATATTCACTTTATTATATAAAAAAATCATCACATTTAAAAAGCTTAAACCATTTTTTCCTTTAAAAATGACTGAAATTACTCATCAGTTATCAAAACAATTGCCAATTAACTTTGTGCAACAAAGCAAATCTGTATAAGTAAACTATAACCTGTGCAATACAGGTCTCTGAACGACTTCATAGATATAACCTTCAGCAAGACAGTATCAATTATTGGGCCATGGTATTGGATTACATTGCATTATATACACTATACAGTGTTCATGTTATATACAGTAACATCCCCCCTGTACACATCTCCATTCAGATTACATAATTAATACAATATTTCTTTTCAAACTGAGATCTGCACTAAAATGTCTATTATCCAGAAAGTAATGCAGTCCATTTTCACAGTGAGTATGTGGTGACTGAAGGTAGCAACTGCAGCAGGATATTTTCTTGGACAAAGGACCCTTTGATTACTCAGTTTTCTAGACTCACACTGCTGAAGGGATGACCTCTGTGGTGTCTTCATCCACCTCGCTCTGAAGATTCTGAAGCTCGTGTTCGGTGTTTCTCAGACTCTCAAACTCTCTCCGTAGAAGTCTGGAGGAGGATTAAGGATGCAAATAAAATAAAAAAAAAGGTAAAAGGCAAGACAGGATTCATTTTCAATGGCAAACGCAGACATATAAAAAGATACTGTAGTTCTGAGTCTGTGATCTGGCTCTTGGCTGTGCACTGCCTCAGCTGTTCATGCAGGCCCTCCAGGTCCTTTTCCCTTTGATGCTTCTCCTCTTCAAAGTCGAGCAGCCTCTGGCCCACACTCTCCTCAATCTGAGCCATATCTGGGGATGGAGGACAGTGACAAAGAGATGACAAAGGAGTAAGAGGGAACATTGAAGATGGATGCTTAAATGTAACCTGGCTAATTGGTGCTGAAATTCTATTAGACTCAGAACTCAGAACTCAGGACAGGCACACAGACACAGTTTATACTGTAGATATCCAATTCATCTTTATGTGACAGTGAATAATAGAACATTGACAGCTGAAAAACAATAGATGATTAAATGTCTGATTACTTGCCTTTTAAAATCTGTGTAACAATCTTTTTAGTTTCTACATGTTGGTCAAAGAGATTCTGATGTTCATCCTTCACTTGTCGGAGTTTCTCAGGCTGGCTGCTGTTGATGAAGGACACCAACACTTCCCCCGTCTCCTCCAAATCTTGAAATTTATGACCTTGAGCCATGGCGGTGACACTGACCGGCTAGAAAGCACAAAACAGAAGAGAGTGAGGTCATCAAAGCGTGTTAAGCTTCACTTTATCAACAACACTAAACAACCAGATAATATAAACCACCTCCTTCTCCAGTGGTGGAAGGAATAGATGAGTTACTTCAGTTGAAAGGGCAATATTACAGTGTAATGATACTCCATAACATGTTAGTGTAAAATGTTACTCAACTGCATCTGCAGTCAATTGTTCTTTATTGAACTCGATAAAAAAAAAGTAACATTTTAAGTGAAGTGTTTACTTTTTGATTTAATCTTAATGTACTGAACCTACACTCACCGGCCACTTTATTAGGTACACCTGTTTAATTGCTTGTTAACACAAATAGCCAATCACATAGCAGCAACGCAATGCATTTAGGCATGTCGACGTGGTGAAGACAACTTGCTGAAGTTCAAACCGAGCATCAGAGTGGGGAATAAAGGGGATTTAAGTGACTTTGAACGTGGCATGGTTGTTGGTGCCAGTTGGGCTGGTCTGAGTATTTCTGAAACTGCTGATCTACTGGGATTTTAATGCTCAACATCTCATAAATCCTAATGTACATAAAACATATGACTTAGACGTAAAGAGACATAAAGCAGTGCGAAAAAACTTCAGATTTGTGCTGGATAGTAAGGGATTAATACACGAAACAGGTTTACAAAGAATGGTCCGAAAAAGAGAAAATATCCAGTGAGCGGCAGTTTTGGGGACAAAAATGCCTTGTTGATATCAGAGGTCAGAGGAGAATGGGCAGACTGGTTTGAGATGACAAAAAGGCAACAGTAACTCAAATAACCACTAGTTACAGCCAAGGTATGAAGAATACCATCTCTGAACGCACAACACATTGAATCTTGAAGCAGATGGGCTACAGCAGCAGAAGGCCACACAGGGTGCCCCTCCTGTCAGCTAAGAACAGGAAACTGAGGCTATAATTCACACAGGCTCACAAAAATTGGACAATAGAAGATTGGAAAAACGTTGCCTGGTCTGATGAGTCTCGATTTCAGCTGCAACATTCAGATGGTTTCAGAGTTTGGCGTAAACAACATGAAAGCATGGATCCATCCTGCCTCGTGTTCGGGCTGCTGGTAGTGGTTGTGTAATGGTGTGGGTCACACTTAATAGCTTGAGCATCGTTGTAACGCGACAGCCTGCCTGAATATTGTTGCTGACCATGTCCATCTCACAGTGTACCCATCTTCTGATGGCTACTTTCAGCAGGACAATGCACCATGTCTTAAAGCTCAAATCATCTCAAACTGGTTTCTTGAACATGACAATGAGTTCACTGCACTCCAACGGCCTCCAGAATCACCAGATCTCAATCCAGAAGAGCCTGACCTTTAGGATGTGGTGGAACAGGAGATTTGCATTGTGGATGTGCAGCTGACAAATCTGTAGCAACTTTGTGATGCCATCATGTCAATATGAACCAATGTCTCTGAACACCTTGAAATAATACATAGTAATATTTATAAAATCAAGTTAGAAATGATATATTCAGCTCTTAGATAAATGCAGCCGAGCCAAATTATGAACTTCATCTGTTTTTAAGTGAAGAGGAACAGAAGTAACGTTAACATAAAAATATCGCTACCAGTGCCATAAAACTGCACTTGAGAAACTACTCAAGACCCACCAGTCAAAGAAACATAGGGTAGTTGACAGGTAAAACTCTTGGCTAAACGTAGCCCTCGCTGTGTTGTTTCTGTTGTCCTGTTTACAACACGGTTACACAAAAAGTGTAAACGTTAGTTTCAAGTGGCTAAATAAACTATGACAAAATGATAGTAACAACAGCGCAAGTTACAAGCTATATTACCGACTCTATACCTAACTAGTAAGCTCAACGTTTATGGAGACAAAAATAAGCTCGTTTTTGTTAAAAGAGAAGCAGAAAACTTACCGTGCAACTCTTTTTCCAGGATTCAAATTCAGACCGTGAGCGCGCCTCTTCTTCTTCTTCTTCTTCTGTGGTCATTGGCGGATTTCGAGCAGCCTCTCACGTGCATACCGCCACCTGCTGACATGGTTCATGTGGTACCAGACAAAACAGACTCAACGGATTTTTCTAGGTTTATGAAGTAAGGCGAAACAGCCCTTCTTGTCTCATGTGTCTGTTGCCCTTTTCTCATCCACACTCAATCTCTATTTTGTTCCGACTTCAAGCTTTTTTGGTACATTTCCTAATTAGAGGAAAATAGGGAGAAATGCTCCTTTAAACACTTCTGTGGTTTCATTATGTATAGTATAACCATAGACTGAAAACGCATAAACCAATCCAGTTTATATGATCTACAAGTTACTGGCTTTTAAATAGAGATCAAGCAATGAAGCATACAATACAATAACTGCATAAGAATCTCTTTTTAGAGGCCATGTATTTTTCAGCCACATTGACATCTACCTTTTAAGGCTAACATTTCTATATTTTAAAGCGATGTATCCATAAATTATGGGTTATACTCTTGATGCTAAATGTAGCAGTTGCAAACAAGCCAGCAGTACCATTATTAGTTTGTTTCCCCTTCCAGGGAAGTGATGTAATCTCTTAGGGTGAACCACCATGTCTTTTGACATTTAATATACTTTCCTTTAAATTTGGTAGCATGCTGAATATCCTACCAGTTTTAATATATTAAGCACTAGATTAAGATACAGATGAATGAAACTTATTCAATCAACTGAAATGTTTAATGTAGGCCAGACACACGTGCAGTTAAGGTATTTTATCCACACAAATTTATTTCTGCACTGAAATCAAACTAAAAATACAGAGTTCCTGATCTGCTTTACTACTTGAGTCCACACATAGCATGTACTGTCCCGAGTGTATGCTTTCATCTATCTGGTTCAAACTGTTATATACAGTTCACATCTGTTTGAATATGTTGTGGAAGGATGTGTTCAGTTATTGTGCCTATAAATTTAGTTAGAAGTGACCTTAAAAAAACTGAATGTTATTTTTTTTGCAAAATCTAAGCACAATATGTAGCGAGAAGTATTCAATTTCCTATCAACCCCATAATCTTAATACTCAGTATAAACATTTACAGGTAAAATTCAAAATGTGAGGCCATTTAAAACATTGTCTACATCAAAAAGGGGTCAATGTGAGGCAATAAAACACTGAGATGAACTCATATTGTAATTTATACCACTGAAAAAAAAAAACAACCAACAGATTGTACTGCAGTTATCTAAGCTGGTGGCTCAGTGCCAGGCATTAATCACTCCTTGTTTTTCTGCTTCCCCTTCTCCTGTGATTTTCGTTTCTGCCTGCCGAGCTGTCTGAAGAACAGTCTCTTGGGGTTCAGACCATAGGCCTTCAGTCTCTGTCTACTGAACTCCCGGCCGCCGATTTTCACCCCGAGGGATCCTGACACGAGGCGTCCTCCTGAAGGATTGCGCTTCTTCTTGGACCATTTCGGCCTCTCAGTCCTGTTTGTCACCGCAGCCTTTTCTGCTGCCGCCTCAGCCGTAACCACTGTCTGGGGCTGCTCTTCCTGCTTCATCTTCTTGGGTATCAGAAAATCTTCCTCGTCCCCTGCCTCTCTGAGATCTTGGCCGAGTGCGTCTTCTGTAGACTCCATAATGGAAGCGGCATCACCATGCTCTGCTCCTGTGTCTTGTTTGTCAGCGTTCTTCAGACGATCTCTTCGTTTCTTCCCCACCTTGGTCTTATACTCTGTCCCCTCTTTATCTTCCCTGTAGATTAAATTCAGATAAATATGGTTACACACTGCTACAGTAATAGGGGCTTATCAGTCCAGCAGATGTGTGCACTGTGTTACTTACTCATATACAGAGCTCAGGATTTCTCTTTTCTTCTTTTCATTCTGAGCCTTGATTTTATAGTTCTTCAAGTCACTCATCTCTTCCTTGTCCGACCTGAGAACAAGAAAATTATCAAAGTGTAGGAAATTCTGACACGACAGGTGTAACACTTTAACATGAAGGACAGAGCCAGTACCTGAACATGCACGTCTTCTTCAGAGAGCACCAGTGGTTCAGCTCCTTATCATTAGCATTTAAAATCTAAAAAGAACCAGAATCTTCATTAGTTCAAAACAACTGTTATCACATTTGGCCCATTTTTGCCTGGAGTAGACTAAAGTGTTTAAGCAAACACATTTCACATTTGTTGCTGCTGCTTTAGCTAGTCACTGTGTGGTCTGCTCAGAGAGAAGATTAAACTGAGATCATTCTCTGGTCAGAGCTCTCCCCGGAGGAAAAGCAATACCAGATCAGTCACCTCAAGACTCATCACTGCAGCATTATTAACCAACGTCCACTCAGCCCAAACAGCCATTTTCTCAGTTAAACTGTATAACTGACCATTTGCTAAACCCCTCCCCCAGAAAAGCAATTGTCCAATCATAGCTTCACAACCTTAACAGGGCATGGAAGGTCTGAGACGCTTTGGGTTTATCTCTTATATACAGTCTATGGTTAATCGCCAAGATTCAGTGAGAAAGGAAAGTATGACAGGAGTAACAACTGTAACAAGAGGAGGGGCGGCGGGATTTAGTGAACAGTTCATTATTTGGAGTTTGAGTGCTGCCGTTCTCACCTCATCAGTGGTCAGGCCGAAGTCGTTGGGTAAGACCTGCCTATAGCGGAACCTGCATGGGAGGTCATCTATGATGTCCTCATAGTCCAGTTTATAGTACTCATCCAAGTACTGCTCAAAGCTTTTCTCCTCTAAGACAAACAGCCTGCAGTTAGAGAACTATGACACTGCACATCAGGATTGCCAGGACAGTTATTTTTCCAACAGCAGGTTTACTGACACTTACGTGGATCAAAGACTGGCTTGTTTTTGGTGATGACCTCTGCAAAGTGAGACTTTTTTCTCTTTTTGCCCATTTGTGGCATATCCTCTTTCTTCATCCTCTTTTTCTTCTTGGAGGCGGTCTGCTGGTTGGGGTCATAGTCTGCATCCATCTGTTTCAACAGTATGACTTTTGGTGAGGGAGTCTCTTTACAAGTACAAAATCTAACAAAAGATCCAGCCGATCTCTGCACCCTGCAGAAGATAAAATGCTTTTGGTAAAAATGAGTCAACTAACAATGAAGTTCTCATCGTCGCAGTGTGGCCCAGAGGCGTCATACTCCTCTCCATCATACTCTCCTTCCTCTTCACCGTAGTCCTCTTGTTCCTCTCCTGTCCATGTGTCCCAGTTCCAGTGTTCTGTCACGCACACACACAAAGCCATGATTAACTTCCAACTGTATGTTACATTAATGCAATGAACTCATTTTCTTTCAAACTTGGCCGTCTACCCCTTGGAAGTGAAACACACACACACACACACACACAGATTGTTGTTCTTGTTATGATTATTCAAATCCTCTGCATGATTCTTTGCAAACTTCAAGACGATACTTCTAAACGACTAAATCTACATGAGGTTTGGATATCCTTTAAGTTGTCCTTAAGTGCCATCTGCAGCAGGCTGAAGGGGATGGAATTACTACTGCGTTCAAAAGAAACATGAAGGTTACAAGAAAACAGACTTACCTTCAAGTTCTTCATCATCAAACTGAGGCTTCTCTTCTTCTTCATTTCCATAGTATTCATCTCCAAAGAATTTCTACAAACAAGAAAAAACAAAATGTCACTGATGAGGAGTCTAAATGCTACTAGAAAAAGAACAACTGAGTGTGCTCTCTTGGTAAAGGACAGGTAGTAGTAGCTTTATCAACCAACAGGTATGTTGGCTGGGGTAAGCAGAACCTCAACTTATCCACACTAACCTTCCTGAGAATTAGCCAAACACAGTGCACCTGTGTGAGTTGGGTGGTCTTGCGCTAAATCAACTTCAATTATCATTGCTGTGGTGAAAGAAGGGAACAGCCCTAAGCCAACACGCCTCTCAGACAAACTGATGCGCACAAGTGTGCACATATTCCTGACAAGTCTAATTAGCCAAACACAATACACCCGTGTGAGCTGGAGACAGATGGAGGCAGCCGTCATTCAGACATTAATTGGCCCAAGTGTTTAAATTAAACAACAACTGTTGCTGGCTGATTTTAAAAGCTGTTCATTTTCATTAGCTTTTAGCTTTTTTGATTTTATTAGCTAATTAAGCTAACAATACCTTCATGATTTGATTGAAAATGCATCTCCAGCTGGCTTTTTAATGTTTCAGGCTGACTTGTTTTCAAAGCAGAACCATGTAAAAGAGTTGTTAAATATTCCCTTGCTGGCTCCACACATATCACACTAAATCTAAATGTCCCAGGGGAAAAGTCAGCATCCTCATCAGTTGATGACCCATGCTGACAAAATGGAAACATCTTTGTTCTTGTTTTGAAGTGGAGAGCTAGTAAATCTAAAGTACTTAAATACAGTTAACCAAGATGTAAGATTTATACTTTTCTATGTGTCACTTTTACTGTTACAAGAGGAAATGCTTTTAGGACTTGGACTAACAGATGTGTTTGGCATATGTTAACGCTATCTTGGGTAACATTGGGCTGAGGTCGCGTCACTGTTTACACTGCCTGTACGAAGGGAGTTCAATCTACTCAGAGTTAACTCAGGGTTCACAAACTCTGACCGCCTACACTGGAGTTAAACGGTACTACGAAGGTGGATAAGATTGGTTGGTTAGTTGAGTCCATGTTAACTTAATTGGAGTTGGTGCGCGTTCGCATAAAAGGGATGTGTTCGACCATGCAGAGTTTTTCCACAACAGTTTAGTGATGCAGCGTTAATTGCCATGGAAACAGACCTCTGGTAACACCTACCCATCTTTCGTAGTACGGGTTAATCGGGAAGTTACACCCGACGTCACAGAGTTACCTGGACAAGCCATTACCCCGCTTCATAGTACAGGCCACAGGACAGCGCCGTTAACGTTAACCTAAACTCATGATTGCATCCAGGACCCCGGCTTTCACACAGTGGCTCTGTAGTCCTAAACAGGGCTTTCTTCCTGATGTATACTGTAATTATATGGGCTTTGGACGTAACACAGGGTAGCTAGTTAGCCGGACATGCAAACGATTGTAGTTTACTTTGAGGCAGACACACACAATTCATGATACTTTTGCTCTTGTGTTTTGAGTTTTCTAAAGGCAAAAACAGTATTACAGCAGCCTCAAAATCTTTTAAATTCAGAGTGTCTATTACTGCAGCTCCATGGACCCTGCTCCAACAAAGCTCGACAGGCCAGGGCCCTGTTTTAGTGAAAACTCTGAGTATGTTGAGCATGTTGAGAGATGAGGGGGAAAATCTCTGGGTTTTCTGTTTCAGAGACTGAGATCAGATAAACCTTCGAGCAAAAACCCTTGCAACTGATGCTGTGAAGCTAACCTCCTCGGGAGCAAGATTTTTTTTAATGTAAAAAAGTGTTTAAAAAAGTAAGTTTGAACCTACAGACACATTTTCCACTGCAAAAAAAAAATTGCGATTCCTGGCCTATAACATGATAATCACTGATTTGCGGTGGGGGTTTAGCTATCTGTCAATAAAGTGAGCATGCAAACACACATTCATGCAGAAAAACTGAGACTGTGTGTGTGTGTGTGCACGCACCCACCTGCATGAGCTGGTCGTGCTGTTGTGGATCAAATTCTCCCTCCAGGTCGACTTCACTAAAAGCGAGCTGCTCGTTGCCCGTCAGCTCCTGAAGCCTCTTCAGCTTCTCCATGATCTCATTTCGCTTCAAGTTCTTCAGCTGCTTCAGCTGCTCCTGCTTCTGTGCTTTCTCCTGAAAGAGGAGTTGGGAAAAGGGAGCAAAGGCAAAGCAGAGACATTGGGAGAAGGTTGTTTAACATGAGCTAATGAATGAAGGCATACTATGATTTAATTCGGAGACCAAGAGAGAGCACAGGTGATTACTGAGGGATAAGGTGTGGTTAGGTTACTTTTTTCCCCCCTCATGATACACACCTTTTCCTTTCTTTCTTTCACTTCCTGCCTTTTGCGTTTTCTGCTGTCGTCTTTGGAGCGCACCGACGTCGCGATGCTGCGGGGGTAGGTCTTGATCTGCTGAGCATCGGGCTCTTCAAAGCGGAAGTTGTAGCTTCTCTCAAACTCTGCCTGCCGCTCCAAGAAAGTCTCCCCTTCCTCTTCAGAGTCCTCCACGTCATCCTGGACCAGCTCATCGTAGGTCGGGATCCTTAATGAGTCAGGAGCATTTATTTACTTTACTTGTTGCCATTTGGCTGCATATGAGTACTTTATGTTCCCTTCACTGAACAGCTCACTAGGAAAACCAAACATCCACACAGGTGGCAACATACCGTTCGTCGTCATGATCATCATCTAGGTAGCCCTTGTTAAGGACATAGTCTCTCAGGAAACGCTCCTTCTCATCCAACTCTGGGTCATTCCAGTAGTCCCGAAGGTATTTCTGCACAAACCAGTCTGATTACTAAGCAAGTTAAACACAAGCCTTTATCTGTTTTTTTTTTTTTTACAGCCACAATGAATTGCTTTCTCACACCCTCTCCTGTATATTTCACTCACCATGTCCTTCACGTCCTCTGGACCCTCGAGCTCAGCCTGGCCTTTCAGCCATTCCACATAGTCCGCCTCTTCTTTATCCTACAAACAGATACAGAATTATTAGTAGTAAGACGTTTCTTCTGACCTGTACTGCTTTGTCTCTATTTCAAGATGGGAAGCCACTGGCGGCAGCTACTTACCTTCTCTTCCTGCGTTTTGACCCTCCTGGTCAGCAGCTCGGATCTTTCACCTCTCTCGCTGCCCTCATCGTCGTCATCATCGCTGTCCTGGATGAACTGACGGAAGCTGAAGAGAGAGGTTTTGTTTTCCATAAACAGTGTGCGAGGTATTTTGCCGGACACCGTCAGATTGTTTGAGTCTCACCTTGCCTTCAGCTCCCTCTGCTCCTGAATGTAGCTCGGAGAGGCAGCTCTCTTTGAAAGCAAACAATGATGATTAATAACCCATCTGTCATGAGTCAATCTCTTCATATTCCAGAGGGATACAAATTATTTCATAACGCGGTAACTACCTCTATTCTCTTGGCGGCAGCCTCATCATCATCATCACTGTCATCATCATCCTCATATTTGCTGTAAAATAAAAAAAAATAAATAAAAAGATCAGAGCCTGTATTCTTTAAATTGCGCCAGATGTATGCGACAATGATACCACAATGTAGGTTATATGCAAACAATGCTGCCGAAATTAATAAATTGCTGATATCTCAAACAAGAATGGAGGCACATCAGCAGCTCGCTCACCCTTCCTTTTCCAGTATCACTTTGCGCTCATAGTCCTTGAGATACATGGGCTTCACTGCGTTCTTCGAGGTTGAAGGCTTCTCCTTACTGGTGGATGCACCTGAAAGCGAGAGTCCGATCTCTTGTTAATAAACAAAAAAATTCCCCAGAGTTTGTGAAAGCAACACCGATGAGCGTGCTTAAATCACCTTCTGAGTAGAACTTGGCATCTGTCTGATAGATCTTGGGGTCTTTCTTCTTCAGCAGAGACAATGTTCTGTAAAAATCCCTTTCAACCTCAGGGTCCAGATCCTGGGGAGGGGGGGAAATGAAAAGTGAGACAACCTGTGCACGTTACTGAAACACCGTTAACTCATCTGTTATGATGGTGTGAAAGAGAAGAAGCAGCGATGCTAACCACTTCACTGTCACCAGAGCTGGACTCAGACGACTCGGAGCCACTCTCATCCTCTCGGTCTCCGTATCGGTCTTTCACTGCACAACAACACAGATATTATAAATAACACAGCGTCGTACGAAACAACTTAAAGCCTGCTAACGCTATCACGCTCCCACGCTGGATGGTTAGCCTGGGAGTTTAGCCATCGTTAGCCAGCAGTGACAACTTAACTTACGTCTCTGTAGCTCTTCTTTCTGTCGGTATTTCTCATATTTCTGCGCGAACCGGCAGTTGATTTTCAATTCCGACTTGCCTGACATGGTTTTAATAAAGGAGATACCTTTAAGCTGTAATTAAAACTACACTCTGGTGAAGGGAAGTCATTCCAGCATGTGAGAAGCTGAACCACGTGGTTTCCGGTGCACAGGACAGATTACATAAAGTGTCCATCAGGGGGCGCAGTAATGCCAATTTCCCCAAATCAAAATGTGATTTTTAGTAAATGTTGCTGCTGCTATTACTGTGACAGACAGAAGCTAATCTCTAGGTTATGTTTTTTAATTTCTAATTTTATAGGGAACAATTTTTATTCACTTATATTCAGAACATTTTTGGTAACTAACTTTGTTTTCCACTTTTAATAAAATGTTATTATTAAATGTTTTAATATGTATTTGTCTTTCATTTCTCTATTTAATATTATAATATATGATCTAGTAAATACTATGTACTAAATACTAAAATAATGATAGTGTTTAGTGACAGAAATGGGCAGTGATGAACACAAAGCTACATATAGCACAGCGACTGCAGTGACATTCAAAGGTTTGTAACTCCCAACATAACAAACACCCACATATTGGACATCTTAAGAAAGTCAACTTAGAATCGTTTTACTTTTCATTCAATTAGCAGCCAGCATACCACTGTTTCACTTGTCTTGATCTTTCCAGTGCACCTGCCACCAACCTAATTAAGAACTATTAGAATTGTTATCTGAGAATTTGCCAAATAAACACAAATGTCCGCTCAGAAAAGACAAAAGGCACGCTGTGTTAAGAACATGGTTAAGAATGAAGCTCACCTTACAGAGAGATGACCTGTAACTTTAAGGTATCTTTGAAAATTTTAAAGAACTCAACTCTCAAAAGTGCTCATGCTGATCTAGCATCAGCTATATGAAAATATGCAGACATATACACTCATGTTTCCTTTTAAAAATTAATCATTGTTTTTTTACAAGTAAACACTAAAAATGCTATGCTGAGAACAGTATATACAACAACTTCACCATTAAAAAACAGACATTTAACAAAAAAAAACCACTTAAATATAGTGTATTAAGTGTGTTATTTCTACTTCATTTACTTAAAAAAAAAGTCATCAGTCATAAACTGAAACAAAGTGGTAGTAAAACAGTCTGTTTTTAGGAGTGAGGCCAGGCCTCACTGGTTATCACCTGCTGCCCTATAGCTATATACACTGGTGGAGTCAGTCACTCTCCCTGGACAAATGGTTTTGGGTGAGGTTCTCTTTGTGTTTAGTTGCTTTGTTCATTACAATTCACTGTACACACATGCAGACAATCAAAAAACTATTATGTTACCAATTTACATACTTTATCCGATATTGTATATTTTGTTAAATAAATCGTTAGTTACAAGTTACATGGTGTCATCTCCTTTTTGTCCCCCCTCCCTTTGACAGGTTGTGACAGTGTTTATCAGTCAGTCACCTCCATGTAGTCTACAGTAAATAACATTTCCCACAAAACAATGTAGGCTAACTCAGACTCTGTTTTCAGAATCACTTATCGGACAGGGCACTTTGTTTTCCCCATATTACTGGAGAGGATGTTTACTTGATGTGGGAAGAGCTGAGGGGTCGATGCTGTGTTACTGATGAGACTGAACAGTATGACGTCATGTCCCATCAGAGCAAGATCTGTTGGAAGAGTTTCCAGAATAAACCTGTCATGACACAGAATGTCTCATGAGAGCCGAGCACAGGCCAAATACATCAAGACTGTCACATGAAATATAATAATATGATCCAGAAGATAAACACAAAGCTTGACCTGATTCAGGCACTGAATATTGATCAGATGTCTCTGGTGTGAGGCATATGATGAAACAAGAGGAGTAAGGTCCATCCCATTACCTTTTAATGTCCCTCTAAAATCCTGCTGTTGGAAACTAAAAGTCTGAAAACACTTCATTGTCACGAAGCCAGTAATTATAGACCCACTGGCACCCTACCAGTAGGTTACTTTCAATAGATGCACACAAAATCACTGAATAACTTACACAAGCAGTTATCGTTTGCGCACTTTTGCTACCAGCTTCCAGCTACCAGATACATACCTTACAGCTAATAGAGCACACAAAATAGTAGGTGTTGTATTTTTGTATTTGTCTTAAATATTATTTTTCATCTATAGCATGAGTGTATGTGTCAGGATCATGGTCAGGATGCAGTGTGTTAAAGCTAATGATGCAGTAGCATGAGGTAAACGATGGGGTGTGCCTCAGGGATCAGTGTTAGGCCCTCTGGTATTTTGTTTATATATTAACAATCTTCCACAGTGTCAAAAAAATGTGGAAACAGTGTGGAAAAAATGGCAAATGTATGCTAACAACGATGTTACATGTGCAAAAAACAGCTAAGCTAGCAGCTGTAACGCTCAATCATGCTTTAGCTTGACTTTTCTATAAAACCACCAAGTGTGATATAGTTAGTTAAATATCTTTGATTAATTATGGGTCTAGATCTTTATTTTTTTTAAATGGCAAAACCATTAACTACCACAAATTAAGACAAATTAGACAAATACAATTTCTACATATAGCTGTAGCCAAGATATTTATGCATGCTATTATCCCATATATAAGATATATTATTGTATTACATGGTATAAATAGTTATTGTGTCTTGAGTCCTTAAATCTAAATAAATAATCTGGATAAAAAAAACTATTTAATATTATAATTGCAGTTTTCTGGAGAAACATAATCTTTTGAGCTTTGAGGATTTTGATTAAATTCACATTTGTGTCTTGTGTAGTTTATTTTTTCATCACCCACTCTCCCTTCATTTCCTATCCAACAACGACACGACAGCTATCAGAGAAGAGGAGGAAAACAAACAGCATTGTGACACTGCTGATCTGTGGTCAAACCCACCAGTGGGCATGCCATGCACAAAGTTCAAGGCAGAGGAAGAGATGAAGTGTCAAGCTGTCAAAAGATGCAGTGACACATCTACACACGTGGGTAAACATACAGATAAGAAAACAAGCAGTCCAGACTGACGACTTTCACATGTCCTGCTGAGGAAAATCTTAACACTACATGTGGCTATTAGTAAATCTAAATCATCAATCAGTGTGAATGTGTCCTCTTTTTTAACACTCATTGTCAAAGCAATTATAAAGTCTCCCAGTCCTGCGGCACAATTTTTTTTTGTTTGCACAGACTGCAGGAAATATTTGTTTTTCAAGGAAAAGTTGTCGTCTGAATCCCTTCACGCCATTAATCATTAATTCAACCACAAAGGTCGTGTTCAGCAGGCTGGATCATTCCAGTAACTTCCACAGATGAATGGAATAAATACCGCTGAAGACATGTTGTTCAGATGAAATCAAAAGCGTGAACATGTAGTTCACTAAAGACAGTCCTATCTGATTGCAACACATTTTAAGTTATTTACTTTTACATGTGTTTGACTCAACTTCATCCATGAACATTTACACAGTTAGAGCAAGTTGGGTGTTTCTTCTTTGTTTGAATTCTGGTGTAGAATAAACATGGCAAATAGGAGATCCCATTTTGTATTGTCACATTATTCATACACATATATACATATATAAAGAGATTTCTGAGCAGGTTCCAGTCAATTTCACCCGATGTTTAAAACATGTGATGTTGGATGTGGCATTACTGCTCACCTGATCCTACACAAACAAAAGCACCCAGTCCCAGTCAGTGGACCGTCTCTGACCTACTCACCAGACTACATTCTGACCAATGGTGCTGCTCACAACATTTAATCAAAGTTGTTCACAGAGGATGAGAAATTCCTTGATTTTAAAATATATATTTCCAGAATCCACCCATATCCTCTTAAAGTTTGTCTTCTCAGGAAACCCTCTACTTTCATTTTACCTGATCTTAAACTTTTCAAAGTGCAAATCAGAGGGAAACATTAATAAACACATAACAAACTGCATGTAGCTAAATGTATTTAGACTATATTCACAATGTATTCATAAAATACTTTCCAACTCCCATGAATTATATGTTTTACTTCTATGTGCATATAAATAAAAGTAAAGGACAGATATTCACACACTGACTACTTTTCTTGTATGTAAGGTCACAGTGAGAATTTCTAAGAAACTGCTTTTCGCTGTGACAGCCTGACTTTCTAGGAAAAATGTCTTGTTTTCTATAGAAGAGCTACAACAGCCCCCAGAGCTGCCCCCTTAAAAAAACAGAGAGAGAGAAAAAAATCTTCACCTCACGTTTCTGCCATGTCTGCATACCAAAGCTGTTGAATGAAAACAGTGGAATATGCTACTGTACATTTTTCAAAACCTCTCATCTGCCACATACATTAACCAGCATTTCAGCCGCCATGATAACAACACAGAGGAGGAAAGTAAGACTTTAATACTACTTGCACCATGTAGTATTAAAGGAAAAAAGTAAACACATTTCTGAAAAATTGACAAATCACAGCCACGTCTCATGTAGTACTATTTCATTTTACACAAGTTCTGCTAAATTGAAATTAATAGAACATTAAGTTCAAATAAACAACAACTTTCTTACATATGTGAACTGTTACATTCCCAGCCAGAGGGTGTATGTGGAACAATTGTAGCTCAACTAATTTCCTACATTAAACTCAACCAACTCAACTTTAAAATTATGATTTTATTAAAAATATATCCAGATATTTGTGTTAATGAGGATAATAGACCACCAAAAGGGATTATAAACTGGTGTGATGCTGATCTTTATTAATTTTACAGTAAGTCAATTGCCCATTGCCTACATGCACAAAGACTAGTTTGTGAGCAAAGAAGCTGACAAGTTTACATTGTTTTCTAAAAGTAATGGATGAACAGTTAAAATAGTTATAATTAATGGATAAGTTAGGTAAGTAACTTTTTGTATTTGGATAAATGGTTGAAACGTCCAGCTTCTGCCACTCCTGTGCTAGTAGTACAAATGAAAACTTGAACAAAGCAGCCTAAACATGGACATTTCAGCTGAATAAAAAAAAACAAAAAATGAAACAACTTCCACTTTTCTATGATCAATAGCGTTATTTTATATCCAGTTTATAATCAGTTCATAAGAACATATTTGGAACAACGCTTAAACTCATCTTATAGGACTATGGGGGTACATGGCATAATTTGGCATATCCTAATTAAAATTTTACATTATTTTCCCTTTGCTTTTGTTACGGGGTGTGGTGTGTGGACAGAGAGGACCCAAATGCAGCACTCAGAAGGGAGGAGGTTTATTGGAGGAAAAAGGGTGAGAGGGACTGGAGGGAGAGGAGGACGTTGGGGAAGTACGGGCACAGGGAACCAAGGAGACAGGGGGCCAGAGAGCAGGGGAACACAGGGGCCGAGGAAGCGTGGAGAGGCGGGGGAACAGGGAGGACGCCGTGAGGGAAGTCCAAAGAGGAGTGGGCCAGTGGGTGAGCCCAGCCGAACGGAGGACGAGGGTGAGTGTACCTGGGAGGAAAACAGACAAAGGGACAAGGTTAGGGAAGACAGCAACAAGGTACAGGGTAAACGTGAAACAACAAGAAACATGAAAGCCTGAACGTGGGGATGGCACCGGGTATGGAGCAACGACGATCAAGCAAGGATGGTGTGGAGAACCGGGGTTGAAATACAGGCTGGGATGAGGTTGATTACTGGCAGGTGTGGCAGGCTGACGAGGTGGATGATGGGTTGCAGGTGCAGGTAGTTGGCTGGGCTCAGGAGCAGAGGGAGAGAGAGCACACGGGGGAGAAAACACAGAGAGGCGGGCAGAGAACAGGAAACCAAGGGAAAAAGCAGAAAACTGATAAAAAGGAGGAAAAACCAGGACACTCACCGTCAGCCGGGCTGCCACCACAACAGCTTTCATACTTTCATTAATACATGTCTAGTCAACTTTGTTTTCTATTCCTTTTCTGTTTTTGCTGCTCCATCCCTTGAAGTAAAAAGTGAAAACCATGGGGAAAGAGCACAAGAGATTTCAGTTTAAAACTAAATCAACTGTCAATAGCCTGATATGGCTGTTAACAAATTATGCACCAAAGTATATTCAGACATGAGTCTTGAAAAACTGACCACAGGGAGCAGTGATTCTATAATAAATAGAAGCATTTATTTATGTACATCAAATGTTTAAAGTTTACAACAAAGTCTTACACTGATATTATTACCAAAAAAAACAACCCCGTAAATAATAATTATTTACATTTATGAACATTATATTTACAGCTTAACCTGCACTGTTAGTCAGTGAATGTAAAATTACTTTATGAACAGTTTCACTAGCACTTTTTACTACCTAAAAGCCTCTTGACGTTCAAAGAGACATCACGAGAACGTCTTTGTTAAGTGTAACAAAACCACATTGATTTTTCAATAGCACCAACTTGAACATGTGAACAAAATATGTCATTAAAAAGGCACACATCTGTCGGCAATAAAAATAAATGAGCTCAACCGACTGGTGAGAGCTGCTTTTTAAAAAAACAGGACAGGGCACATTGCTTTCTTTTGTCAGGAATGCTGGAACAAGGTAAGTTGAAGTTCTGGTCCAAAGGGAGGATGTAAATATACACGTGCCACGGTACAGATCCTTAGACTCTGCCCCATTGGTCACACATGGTTGCATTAAAGCTTTTGGTCTTTGAGGTCTTTGAGGAATACACTGGTCCTCCCAAGAGGGGCATAGGGAGGGAACATTTGAAGATGGCCTCCCAATGCACAGACAGTCGAAAAAAATCGGGAGAATGGAGCTGACTCAGGCAGCTGCTGAAAAACATTGTGTTGTGACCATATGGTGATGGGTGAAACCTGAAATCTATCACAGTGTACAATATAAGGCATAAACACAGTGTGCAGTGTGTACCCTTTAAGGCTGACTATAGCTGTGTCTTTAGGTCCCTTTGGATGATATTTCCACTCCACTACTGGTGTAAAACTCAAAATTACACACACACACACACGCACACATCATTATGAGACTTACGGAGGTCACGCTGGTTAAAGTGGTACATGCTTTTCAGTATTACATTCACCTAATGTATGCTCAACGTTATATCAACTCTAGTGTTAGTATTTGACATGGGATAAAAGCCCGGTTCAGATTTCTTGAGTTTGAGTTAGAAGACAAGACTGATTCCACAATCGTGTGTGTCGAGTTCATAGCTAGAGGCGTACGGTGATTAGCTTAGCTTAGCTAAGCTTAGTGTGAAGAGGAGAAACAGCGAGTTCGGCTTTGTCCAAAGGTAACAAAATTTACCAACTAGCAACTCTAATGCTTATTGTTTGAGTAGTCCACACAGAAAACAAAACGTAAAAAAGTCTTAATGCTAAGGTAACCTTCTCCTGGCTCCAGCTTCATAATCAAAGGAACAGTACGACATTTTGAGAAATACACTCATTCACTTTCTTGTCAAGAGTTGGATGAAAAGATTGATCCAGGTCCCAAGTCTGTTTATTAAATATGTAGATGGACCCAGTAGTCAGTTGGTTTAGCTTAGCACAAAGTGTGGAGGGTAAACAGCAAGCCTGACTCTGTCCAAAGGTAACAAAATCAACCAACCAGCACCTCTAAAGCAATTATTTATTATGTACAAAAACAAAAATAATTCTCCATTTTATAGGGAGTTGCCAGCCAACTTGCAATAACTCCAGAAAGTTACGCAATAATATATATATGTGATGCTGGTCAATGGATTTTGTTACCTTTGGAAAGAGCCAGCCTACCTGCTTCCAGCCTTTGAGCTAAGCTGCCTTTAGCCATATATATACTATACAGACATGAGCGTGGCCAAATAAAATTTCATAATGTTCCATAAACAGACAAAAATACACTAATTTGTAGAATTCTGCGTTATATGAGTTGGAGGGAATTCCCAATTATCAGTTGCATTAAATGAGCTCAGTTAAACTGTTACATGAAAAACGAGGCATTATGTGTCTTTGACAATGACACAGATCTCCAGTTGTCAGATGATTTGGTATGATTTGGTGAGGAATGGATTGTCAACGTGATGGAAAAAAAAGTATCACCCTGGTTATTCCACTTTAGAGCGCTTGTTTTTCTGTGAGGATATAGTGGTTCAAGCTTGTCTGATATTGGCTTTGACTTCCGTATCTTTGTGCTGAGTGAGGTAAAAATACAAAAGTATGTCCAAGGTAGCCCATCAATGAGGCTCTTCTTTCCACTCTGCCAGACATTAGTTTTCAGTTTTCCATGAAGGCTGGATTGACTGCCTCTTCATCCAAGCTCACAACTTGTCTCTGATAGGACAGCAAATAAAAAGGATGTCAGACACAACATATACTGTAGCCTGTATGGGGCGATTACAACAAAATGTGTTAAGTTGTTGAAGGAGAAATCCAATCAGATTTCATTACTAAGGACTCACTTTTGGGTAGGAGTAACCGTCAGGGCTGTGGCTCCTCCAAATGTGGACTTGGTCCTCAGTGGTTTTCTGATAGACGGGGTTATCAAAGTGAATCGTGTTGGTGTTCTTCTGCCTGTAGTTCCTCCACAGCAGCACGCTGCCAACAGCCACCAGACAAATTATCGCTACATGAGGCAGACACAAGGAGACAGAGACAGAGAGAGAGAGATGAGACTTGATGGTAACACTTATTATTATAACATGTTATTATTTCAAATCAGTTGTATATTCTGCGAAGAAGCCGTCTTTGCTGCTCCTGCCAAAGCAACTCACCCAGAGGTAACACAATATACAGAGCCACTGGGGTGGTGGAGGCAGTGTCGGGTATAGCTGCGGCAAATCCCTGGTGGAAATCTGAAGGAAAGGTAAAGATGAGAAAATAAGTTGATACATGACAATACACATATACGCATGGTGTCACATGGTAATGCAGCAGTTGGTAACTGTTTTGCAATTGCTTATTTAGTGGTGCCTTCAAGTTCTTGTGGAAAACTGAGATATCTAAGACCTGACAGTCCCAGCAGGAAACTATTTATTACAAGAAACTTCCAAAGTCACATGATCCTTTCCCTGTGTCCATGTTTGGTTTTCGTTAGTCTTACAAACGGTTATCAAGAATGCTTATTATGGTACTTCAACTTGCCTGGAGAAGTGACTGGAGCCTCTGTGGTGGTCTGAAGAATTTTAGGCTTCATCGGCTGTGGTGAAGGGGTTCTTGGTTCAGGTGTGGTGCTCCTTACAGGAGGCTTGGTGGTGCGTGGCACTGGCTTTGCCGCGGTGCTGGTGATTATGATGGGCACTGTGGTGGTGCGGGCCTGGGGCTTAGGTGTGGTGCTGGCTGGCACTGGTGGCCGATGAGGGGAGTTGGTAGCTGGAACTTGAGGCTGCACAGGAGCTGCAGGTGTTGGCACAGCTGGTAAAGTACAAAAACAGAGGAGGCGACGTGAGAGTTAAAAACAGGACAGCTTGAGCCAAAGAAAAGATTGTATTGACAGAAATGATTGCACTATGATTTTCTTCTCCCTATTCTACTACTGTTTATTTACATTTTGATCATATACATACCAGGTACACATGACCTCATATCCCTCGCTAGCATCATGTTATCTGGACAGACACATGTATATTTGGGGGGATGTCTTCCCACTTGAGGAGCTGCCAGGCACAAGAACTCACAGCTGGATACCTGGCACCAATCTCTTCCTGCAATGGAAAAGAGGATGAAACTGTAGTTTAGTTTAAGTGATTTATATATTTTTAAGCTATTATTAGCGCACTTAAGCATTCTCATTATGTCTGTACGCTAAATGTTAGCTAATAAGCTTAGCTAATCAGCCAGCGGCTTAGCTTAGCACACAGCTAGGAAATACGCAAACAGCTAGCCTGCCTCCAGTGGTAGCAAAATCATCCTACCAGCAACTCTAAAGCTCACTAATTAGCTGGAAACAGTCTTGTGCTAAACTAAGCTAATCGGTTGCTTGCTCAAATAGGGATATTTCACAAACTTCAGACTATTTCTTTAAACTCAAATCAAACTGGCAATAAATGACAATGTTTGGCCAATGTTGATCTGTTATGCAAACCAAAAACCCCAGTTAGGATGATTCTGATTTTGATATGAGCACTCAATGACAGTGGCACAACCAATTTATTTCCAATCAACAGTATGTGATGGTGGTGTCTCTTACCAGCAGGTTGTTTGAGGTTATGGTAAAGAATAATGTCTTCTGGTGAGGATAGGTGCTCCGCAAGTGGTGTGATGTCACCACCCGTCAGCCTGTTTGCACTGAGGATGGCATTGTTACTGACGTCTGTCCAGAACACTCTTTCCTAGAAGAACAAAAAAAACAAAAAACAGCCAAGCTTGAACATCTAAGAAAATGGGGACAGAGTAGTAGTGCTGAGGAATACTACTGTTTACACTGTGAGGACTTTATGGCATGTATTTGACAGGCTCTGGGTGTGTTACAGAGTTTATCAGGTGGTAAACATCTACCTCAAACACTGTCAGTCCCAGCGGGTGAGCCAGCTTGTTTTCATCAATGATGAGGGTGCGTCGAGCACCGCCCTGTACGTCGATACTGGAGAGGGTGTGCAGCTTAGAGTCCACCCAGTAGAGCCGCTGGTTCAACAGGTCTGGGGAGATGGGGTGGGGGATCAACAGGTCAGACCAGAGTGACCCTTGGCATTCACATGAAGAAAACACTTGAAACCCCAGAGACAAGAATACTTACCGATTGTAATCCCATTAGGCCAGACAATGTTGTCAGAGACCAGGGCAGTGCGGTCTCCTCCATTAAGACCTGCCCTCTCAATCTTAGCGGGGTTCCCCCAGTCAGTCCAGTAAATGAAGCTAAGAAGACATAGATATGTTGTAAATAAAATTAAATCAATACATTCCTTTGGACTGTACACAAATGAAGACAACAGACTAGTCTAGGAAGGATTTAGGCATTACTGTACTTTTATTTGTGTTATCTGACTTACTTGGTGTGGGGGTCAACCACAATAGAGCGGGGTTTAGACAAGTCTTGGTGGAAGAGAGTTTTGCGGTGACTACCGTCAGCATTTACCACAGAGACAGTTCTGTGAATGCTGTCAGTCCAGTACAGGTTACCATGGATCCAGTCAAAAGCGATGCCTTCAGGAGCATCAATGTCATTACCGACGACCACGCTGTGATGAGTGGAGTCTTCAGCCGAGTCCATCTGAGCTCTGGATTAAAAGTGAAGAGCTGGCGTTAGGCAGGAGTAAAAGAAACAAGAACACTACCTTTCTTAGATTCTGATTTCATTCTTGTTCACCTGTAGATCTTCTTTTGAGAGATGTCCGACCAGTAGATCTCTTTGGTGGCCATGTTCATGTCGAGAGCCACAACGTTCTTTAGACGAGGGATTACTCTGGTGTACTCACTTTTGTCCAAAGTCATCTTTCTGACTTCATGACGGTTGGTGAAGAAAAGGTAGGCTATTGTACCTACAAAATTAGAGTGGACAAGTTATTTTTTTATTAGTAATTTACTGTGAATGTTTGTTTAAAGCTAACTTTAGCAAGGTAGGCTAACTAGCTTCCAATTTCTGATTCTGTCCTTCCAAATGTTGAATGTTGTAAACTGCTGAACAACTGATAGCTAATGCTATGTAGAGTTGTGAAAAAGGTGAAAACCATCTTGTATCAGAGTTTGTATGCGTGCTTTCCAGGGCTATGACGTGCTTAAGTTAGCAGAGGTCCAGGGAAGTTGAGGCCCTCTAAGGCCATGTGAAACCCCCAGTCAGAGGCCTGACGCTTAGACACTGTTTCCCCAAATATGACCATAAACAGTTTTATCATCTTTTGAAAAATGAAGAATTGTGCACAACGGATGTAGTTTCATTATAGTTTGTATTTCCTTACACAAAAGGCGTGGAGAATCAAATTTCAGTTCCTAGCCTTGCCCTGCCTGACACTTGGAACAATGAGGGAGTTCAAATCTTAAACATAAAAAACTAACATTTCAGAAGACTATTCATCATCTTTGAACATCTAATTGTTACATAATAATGCAACAAACACTGTGAAAGAACACACAGAGCTGATATTTACCGATGGCCTTGCAGGCTCTGGTTGCCGGGTCAACTTGGTAACCCTCCTCACATTGGCATTTGTAACTGCCTATCTGGTTGATGCAGATCTGGCTGCAGGTGTCCGGGTTGGCACACTCATCGATATCTGATTCAAAGATGAAGAAAAAAATGAAATCAGCTTTTCCGTCACAGGAGCAATGCTGAGTTACTGTATCCATTAGAATTACGAGATCCCTCTTTATCTGACAGCACAGTCATGGACGCGGACAACTTTGCGTCAGAGTAAACATATCATTTGCAATCATTTGTTAATCTGACTGAAGTTCACGTTAGTATGAAAACTGAAAGAGAACAGAAAAAAGCACATTGATCTTTGATATTCGAAGTGCTTCTAATTGTGGGAGTCTGTTACCTTCACAGCGTTTTTTTTCAACCAGGCGGTATCCAGCAGGACACAGGCACTCATAGCCGATCTTCAGGTCATTGCAAATATGTGAGCAGCCGCCGTTGTTGTACAGACACTCATTAGAGCCTGCAGTGGGCAGAAGAAAAGGTTTATCGTCTTTTATTCTGAGGTCGTACAGTAATTAGCATTCTCAAGCTGCAGACACCCTCATTAAATACATAAAAGTAGTAATTAACCAGACGTTTATGAATGAGAGGCCTCTTGCACTCACCACATTCCCTAAGAGGCTCATCTGACCAATCCCTGCAGTCACGCCGCTTGTTACACACTTTCTCCATGCTAATACATTCCCCACTGCGGCACTTAAACCTGGTTGGGCCCTCACAGTGGGTTGCTGTGCATGAGAAATAAAGATTCAGTTGTAGACACAGATGGAGAGTTTGCAGTTCATTTGGCTGGTAACGATCAGGAGAGGAAGGGTAAGGCAGGAGATACATACCATTGACACAGCCAGTTTCATCACTCATGTCCTTGCAGTCGTATTGATGGTTGCACTGGAGGCTCCCATGGATGCAAGTGCCATCACCACATTCAAACTCATCAGGACGGCAGGTGGAACGAGCTAGAGGGATAAAGGTAACACAAGTAGAAATTTGAAATGAGTACAAGAGATGATGACAAACTAATGACAGCATGTAATTAACAGGAAAAGAAGAATTTGTTAGTCACACTTACCACAGTCAGCTTCATCTGATCGATCGAGGCAGTCAGCTCCCCCATCACACTTCCAGCTGCCGTGGATGCATTCGCCGCTGCCACAGCGGAACTCCAGGGATGAGCAGTGATTAGTGGCAGCAGTGTCAAGTGTCTTTGTACCACAGTTCTGGGGCCACTCGTCCGAGCCGTCTGAGCAATCGGTGTCTCCGTCGCAGGCCCACAGGCGTGGAAGACAAACGGTGTTGTTACACTGGAAGGACGTGGCGCTGCAGGTGACGGGCGGGCAGGAGGCCTCGTCGCTGCCGTCGTCACAGTCAGCCTCGTCGTCACACACGAAGGAGGATGACACGCATTGTCCGTTCCTGCAGCGGAACTCTGTGTCTGTGCACTGCTTTGGCGCTAAGAGAGAGGAGATATAACAGGGCGATGAGAGTAATGAAAGACCAGGAACACTTTAGAGCAGGGAGGAAGGGAGGGGATGAAAGCTGTGGATTCTGAGAGCAATGAAACAAGATAAATCACATATGATTGAGGAAATGGTGAGACAGATGTGTGGGCCTCCTGCAGATTGTGGTCAGCTCGACTCACCACAGCTCTCTTCGTCAGCTCCATTCTCACAGTCAGCTTTTCCATCACAGTGCCAGGTGCTTGGTACACACTGGTTAAGGCGGTCCGCGCAGCTGAACTCTGTCGGTCTACACGTTTTGGTAACTGGAAGTGAAATACACAGAAAACTGTAACTGACACTATGTACTCATCAGACTGAGGGACTGTGGGATTGACAGGTATGTGTGCAAAGTAATAACAAGTCCATTCTCATGTCGAGTGACATATGATACTCACGGCAGGTACCAGGAAGCTCATCTGTGCCGTCTCCGCAGTCATCTGTGCCATCACACACCCATCTCGCTGAGATGCATTTCCCATTCCCACACTGGAACTGCTTGGTTCCACATGTTGTCAATGCATCTATGACAGACAGATATAAACACACGGTTCAGCTAAAAGGGCCATTGTTTTAGTTATCATTTATCAGGGCCAATGCAGGAAGACTCCCCATAAACACAGACATGGCTGGAAGTATATTTAAGTCACATAAAATAATAATTCTGCAGAAAGCAATTAAACAAAACTAAAAGTCTGCAGCCATGCTAGCAGCTATGTGAAGAGGCACAGCAGTGCTTTGAGCTAATTGCTAAAGCTAGCATTACCACATGCTAACAATAAAAATACTAACATGCTGATGTTTAGCAGGTCTGTTTACCATGTTCACTCTCTTAGCTGAGTGTGCTAGCATGCTAACCTGTGCTATTTAGCAGTGTACATAAGCTACAGCTGAGGATGATGGGAACGTCATTAGTTTTACAGAATATTTGGTCATAAATCAAAGTGTTGGACAAATTTAAGTTTTAAGCCGGATGATGACGCTAAAGGAAAGGTTAAGGGAAACCCTGAAGTTATTACAATTCATCCTGAGGAACGCATGAACATGTTGAGACATTTCACCCAAATGTTAACCTCGTGGTGAGTGGAAAAGTCAGAGGATCACCAAAGTCAGTAGGATTCTTCCCCTGGGCACTATGTACCAAATTTTATGATAATCAATATGATAGTAGTCAAAACATAAACATAAAACATAATATGTCAACCACAACAAAAGTCAGGGGATTCATCATCTGGGGATCATGAACGTCTCTACTAAAGCTAATGGCAATCCATCCAACAATTTTCGTCGGAACAAAGTGGTGGAGCAACTGACAGACAGAGGATATGTCTTCAATGAGGTGATAAAGATGGTGATAAATGTGCTGCCAGAGGAGATGAGGGCTGGGAGGTAATTACTCTGGTATGGCACGTGAAGAAACACACTTGCCTGTTAGTACTTGTTTAAATAGGGCGGATAAATGGTTAAACTACATGTCAAACAGTACAGTACAGCAGCCCAGCCTGTATTTATCCAGCTTTATCAGGGAGCTGCTGATATGACAAGTTCATATTCACAATAGAAATCTCATTTTCCAGTGTTTACGGCCCCTGCTGGCAAAAATGAATATGCTGAAGACACAGAGACGCCCTCCCAACCCCCATCTTTAATGGACCCAATGAAGCCACTGAACCATTCCTCCGTCTGGCCCCGGGGCCTCCAAACCCTGGATGCCCACCTGTTTCTAAAGGGGGCAGAGGGAGGTGTTAAGCACTATATACTAAAACTATAAGTATAAGTATATAGTACTATAAGTTTGAGTTTGAGAACTACAACTTCATGATAAATAAAACTACCTTGTACCTTGTAGCAGCACACACCACCAGCAGCGAAGCAATTAGCTTCTTCATAGCCAGATCCAGTAAGTGCAAGATTAGCTTTTAACCAAAAAATTCTAATAAAATATTTATGAGTATTTCCATTTTCACAAGTTTGTGCCCTATAAGAATGGCTGGGGAAAAGGCAAGTCATAAATTATGCATGACTGTAAATGTCTTACAGCATTAATAATTACAATAGCTTCTTGGTGAAGTCAAACATCTGGTGCTATCAGTCATGGTTACTGCTAACAAGGAGAGGCTTTATTTCTTTAAGCTTCTGCAGGTTGAGGAATTGTTTTGCCACTGTAGTAGTATTTTATATGATTTCAGTGTAAATATACTACTGTTCACAGCCAATAATGTCTTTATGACTCCATGTGAAAGGCGGTTCCTTATTGCTCTTTCCATAAAGATAGTCATCAGTTTCATATTGACAAACCTGGTCTTATCAAAGGGATATCCTTGTGGGTAATACAAAAGAAACAGTACAAAACACTTTAAGGCAGATCCTTCTTGCCGATGGATGGTATTTTTCCCTTTATAGATCAGTCCTCATTCTCTGAAACCAGTGGCACAAAGTTCACGCTGGCTATTTACTTAATGAGCTTAAAGTTCAGACCTTGACAGACAAACTGGACCGAATGGCAGCGTTATTGATTGAGCACAAATCAGTGCTGGAGAAATAACAAATGTGTTCAGGCTCATGTTTGTTGCCCATTCTGTGACGTCTGGTGTGTTTAATTGATTGGCCATGAGGTGAGCAGAAAGATCACACCATTAAAAAAAATAAGGGATCACTTATTGAGATAATAAAATTCTCAAGATGACCCAAATACCATTGGAGAGAAGAACATGTTTCAAAAGATTGGGGACAGACATGTTACAGCTCATGTTTCTGTGACTGGTGTGGAAATGTGGATATGTGACAACCAGTTCCAACATGTTTCACCACACACAATTTCCCAGAACCAACATACTGGGAACAGGTCTGACAGTGACTTCCAATAAGACTGAGTGTACATCCAAAACTTAAGGAATGCTGCCATAAGACAATGTCTGTGTTTGAAATGGAGGATTTGGAGGGCTTCCACTCATTCCCACAATAGCCCATGTAGGGCGTTTCAGGTGATGGAAGAAAGTCTCTTGCAAACAGGCTAAATATTGCATCATGTAGGAAGAACATAATGTTGCAATGCTGATAAAACCCAAATGCATCCAAACGTTCCCCTGATACATTTTCTATAGTTATTTAAATCCAAGTTGCGCCCATTCATTCCCTCATTATCAATTGCAACTGCTTAAATAACGGCTTTTCGGGAACACAACTTGACATCTTTGCACTCAGTAGTCACACCCTGCTCAAACCTCATTGGCTGCACAACCTGCTGCGAGCTGAGCGCGAGTGAATGAAAAGCAAAAAACGCGCAGCTTCATCCAAAAGCCGGCGAGGGTAAAAAAGGAAACAAAAAGAAGAAAATGTGCAACTGAAAACTTCAGCCATTAAAAAAGGCGCATGGTGACTCATAGATAGAGGTTTGTAACTGTTAAATTATGAAAAACAAATGTGATGTTGAGTCGACATGAAAGCATTTTTTGGCCCCGAGTAGGCCATTCCTTGTGGGGAAAAAGGCGAGTTGACCTACATTCTGTGAAGAATTGCGCCCTCCCCCCATCACCTTGCATCCGGTGCTGTCAGAGAAGTGGGCAATTTAAACCCACAGGCACTGAATAATTGTCTTAAATCATATTTATAATGTTCTCTAAATATACATTTATATCAAACAACATCGAATTAAAGCGCAGCACTACATTTAATGCATTTTATAGTTAATTAACACAGATGCCAAGTAAAAAAAGCTAATTAATGACATAATTGCTCAAGTTGAAGTAAAGGAAATTCGAACTTACTTGTCTGAAAAAGGGAGCAGATAAGAAACAATAATGACGCGTAACGCGGCCGTCCCATGTTGTTCAGCCCCACTGGAAGATGCATCTACACTGAAGCCTGTTAGGTCTCAGATGTGACTTTTTATATTAGCCTTTATGCAACACTGTCAGTAATGTGACTGCTGTTTGACACTGCACCAGTAGTAGAAGGCTCTAGTTGTTGGCCTGCTTGTGCTCTGCTGTATTAGAGATGCTCCTGCGAGAAGATCTGAGGATGGATGCTCTCAACACTCCTACTGTTTGACAACAACATCAGACCCATTTCAATGTGGTCTCGTAGTGGGTGGGGCCAAGAGGGGGCCGAGAGGGAGAAGGCGGGATCTGGAGTGGTGTGATTTCGGAGCCAAACAGTCCCAACAATTGGGAGGCGGAGTTCTGTAGAGATGGATTTTACTGTGTTTAACCCTTTCAGAGAGGTAGGAGAGACGCACACGCACAAAGAGTATTTGGATACATTGGAGTTAAGTTTCAATCCCTGGAGGCTAATTCTAATTAGCCTAACTAATTTCTAACCCTCTCTTACTGCCATACATGGTTAACAAGTGCGTATGCCCTACCCAGAAATTGGGTGACCAGCATAAAATTTTCACAGGAGCCTGACAAGGAAGTAGGCTATTAGGGCAAAGGCCTGGGGGAATAATAAAAAGAGATTTTGAGAATAAAGTTGAACTATTTCAAGAATAAAGTAAAAAAAAAAAAATGTATGAGAAAAAGTCAGAATATTTCAGTATTTACGTTTCAAATGAGGAATGTGGATGACCTGAAGTTTCACCAATAAGAACCTTATTGTGGGAGAAACAAGCGAGGGTGAACCATAGACTGTGGACGTAAAAAAAGTGGACGTAGCCACCGAGATGTCACCTATAAATTGTGGACTACTGTTTTGGCCGTCGCCATCTTGGTTTCTTTGGAACCAGAGATCCGGAGGTTTGCGCTTCGCGGGAACATGAAGCTCCCAAGCCACAGACCAGAGCTGAGAACCGCTGATAGGAAAGTAACTCAACAGGCCAAACACATCTTTAAAATAGTAAGACTAAAAATAGTAAAGGTTCACTATAGACTATGGGGAACATTTAATCAAATCTACTCAATCCAGTCAAAACATATGACATAACAAGTGGGTTCTTAATGCACAATTTCTCTCGTAAAACTATGAGTTAATTCTCTTAAAATCATTAAATTCTTTCTCATGACTTTTTCTCAAAACATAACAACTTGTTTTTTTAAAAACTAATGTATTCTTCTTCTAGAAATTGTACTACTTTCCCCCCAAAATATTATTTTCTCTTTGTATTGAAACTTTTTTTTTTCTAGAGTCAACTGGTTTGAAGTTCAAGGTTTGTCCCCATATGGCCTGTGGCAGTCTATAAGATTGGCAGCTGAAACCAAACAACCCGGTCAACACAAAGCAGTGTTCCAGTTCATATGGTGCGGTTATACAACATTGATGTGGGGAAAGGAGATAATTGACGTATTCCGTGCATGTTTTCCACCTACTGAAAAAATACATGTAATTTTAATTTCCTTTGTGTCATTTCTTTGATAAATTAAAACACAAAAGGTAAAAGATATACGGTGTACAAAAAGCTAATGCTAATTGACCCGTGAGTAAAACTTTCTAATAAAATACTAAAGTCATTATCACTGCTTTTATCTTCATATCGCTACTTTCTGAATTGAGGTCGGTCCCCTCTCATAAAAAACAGCATGTTATTTCAGGTTCAAAGTTCAAACCTTTCTGGGTCCATAAGATAATTTACAATGAGATTTACATCAGAGGAGGCGCGGCGATAAAGCACATCTTAAGGGATAAAACTTGGAAACAACAACCTTGAACCAAGCAGAGAGACTACCATATAGTTCAGGAATACACCTCTGTAATTTAAAACAGATACATAATCCATGAAGTATGTTCCTCTGGCACTGGAACATGGGTTAAAAAAACAAGAAGGTAAAGCAGGGGAAACATCAAGTTGGTCATAGTGGTAAGTAAATACATTGACCCCTGCTACTTGTACATTCAGATAACATGGAACCCCCGGACGGCCCTTATTGACCAAGCCCATTTTATCACGTGTGACCTTCAGTGTTACTCCAACACTGATCAATGTGCAGAAAAACAATTTAAATTTCAGAGAAACACACATATGTCCAGTCATAACTGACCCTAGCACGTGAGAAATCCTCACTGTGAAAACAAAACATCATCCATTCAGTGATAGCAGAGTCCGGTTAGCTCTTTCTTCACGTCAGAGCACAAGATCTGCCTCACAGAAGCATCCAAGGGAATTCAAGGATCAAGGCCAAGGCTGTCACACTGTGATAAAATATGTTAAGTAGGAGCAGCATGATGGAGGAAATAGAGACAAAGTACTACTACTACTACTAGTACTACAGATCAAGTTCCTAGATCCTTTACTTAGTTAAATAGCAAATATATTCAAAGAAAACTCCATTACAAGTAAAAGTCATTCAATTACGTACTTTACTGTATGGCATTTTAATAGTTTTAGCCGGTTGAGGTGGAGCTTGTTTTAAATACTTTATATAGAGTTAGATAGTTTAGTCTGGTTGTTCCCAGGCTAGGGGTCAGCTCCCGCCAAAGTGGAGAATATTGTACTTTTTACTCCACTACATTATCCGACAGATATAACAAACAAAACATACGATCAGATAATAACACATGATGCACTGTTATAGATGAAACTTCCAAAAAGAAAGAGAAAATAGAGCAGTTAAATTTAGCTCTAGTTCAACCATCTACAGCGTGTAAGTGCTGCTTACATGTCAATGACAAAGATCCAGTAATATAACAATATAACACGGATAGGGACCATTCTGCATGATGAATACTTTTACTTTTGTAAAAGTACTTCTTACTTGATCCTTAAAATACATTTTGTTGTTTTTTTCCATTGCTGTTTCATTAGAAATTAATAGACAGTAAGTAAAGGGCAGGTGGAAAATTATGATGAAACATTAAAACAATTTTACACATCAAAATAGCTTATTCAACGCCAGAGCATTGTACTATACAAGACACATTTCCTTTTCCGTCTAATGCTGGCCTTTTCCAGAGAGTGAACCCACCCACCCCTAACCACACTGTACTGCACATTGGGGTGCATTTAATAAGAAGTGACAAGGAATTTTCAGGCCTCTGTTAAATCTGGGTCCTTTGGGTGACCGACTGTGAAACATTTACCAAACTGTGCCAGAGTTAACCTCTAATTTCCTGATGAGATGTTTGCAGATTGCTGTGTGTCCCCGTCTCAAAACATGAACACACATACTGCGGCACCACCAGGGGACATGTAGTAAGAGTGGTGATTCAGGGGAACTGATTTGAGTGACTAAAACGTGTCTAGAATGAGACAAGAAAAGCCCAGCTGTCATTATAAAGACCCTGGTTATGGACCTTTTTCTAAAAGCTCTGTCTTATGAGTCCAAAAGTGCCTGTTCAGGTCAAGCCTGACAACACAGTACATTTCTGTAATGACTTCATAAAAGTATTGGCATGGGCGGGTTCCCTTGTCTGCATCAACGGAGCAGACTGCCTTACTGCCATTGCCACTCCAGGAGGCCTTTGAAAGTACCGGGTGATGTCCTTTGGTCTTTTTGGAGCTCCCACAACCTGGATCAAGCACTTGCCCCATGAAGAATATGAATCTGCCTGTTTGGATGATGTAATTCAGAGCCCAGACTGGGAAAGCCCTTTTCCTCGCATGCAGAAAGTTCAGGAGTCTCTCTGACACACAGGCAAGATGGCGAATCTCAACAAATGTAAGCTGGCCTTCAGTGAAACAACGTACTTGGGGGACACCATTGAGCAGGTCAAACCCTGGAAGGCAAAGAGAAAAACAGCAGGGTAACTAGGTGGTTCTTAAGCCTCCAGCCTGTTAACTTCTCAGGCCGGGACGCCATAGAAAGGCAGATGCCCTGTCCGGCTGTGACGCCTTCTGGACCTCAGTCACCTTGTCAAGGACCTCAGGCCTGGGGAGAGGGATGCGTGGCATCACCAGGGCACTTGCAGTAGAGGGGTGCTATGTTTCCCTTACAGGATTGGCTGCCTCATCACAAAATGGCAGCCATTGCACACAGTCCATCTGCTAGAATGCCTCACCACTCAGGTGTAGGTTCCTAAGCTGCCTTAAAGCCGGACTTTGGATCCCGAGGGGAAGCAGAACAAAGAAAGCTGAAGAACAACGAGCACACAGCTGGAAGGAACTGGGAAGGGGAAGAAGACGTGTTTAGAAGAGGAAAACAGACACTTAATGTTGAGGAATTATATTTCTGCACTGTGATGTTTTAAGCTGGGACTGGGCTGTGCTTTTGATTTAAGAGTTTACCTGAGTTGCCTGTTGATAACCTGTGGACTGAAGAATAAAACTTCTTTTGAACCTTCCTTTTGCCTGTTTGCTCAGTTATGTTGCACAGCCGCGCCCTGGTGACCTCTCATGACATTACAATACACACACCCTCCCCGTCCTCTCTTTCACACCTTCATGAAACAGATTGATTGAAAAGATAGTGCACACTGGAGAGAGGTAGAAATTCCTCTTGTATCCCTTGACAGAAACAGAATTAATGTAAACAAGAGTGCAGGTGAGGTCAAGTTCCTCTCACAGAGAGTAGAACACACCCCTCTACTACAGCTGATGGGCTTTCTGTTTCAATCTCTCTTTCTACACAATCTCAATCTCCTCACCTCGGCCTCTGTAAACAGTTTCTGGTTCTTCCAGTATACCCCCACAGCTCTATTCACCTTTCACCTTCACAAACATTGTCTTGGTTGCAACGGATTTTCTGTCTCTTGTCTTCCCCTGAAGCCTAAATCAGGTTCTCCCAGATGCAGTTGAGCATGTTTCTGACTTCGGCTCCTGAAAAGCTAAGCAGGGGTGAGAGTGGGGGAGTGTTCTTTCTAAGTAGAATCAGAGGCCAAGAAAGATTTCTGGCTTGATGTCCATTAAATATTTCAGACACAAATTGTGTGTGTGTCCAGCTATCCATCATCAACTTAAAATGCCACATGCCAGCACAGGGATACATTTCTGGATTGCTCTGCGGTGACTGTGGCATAGGGAGTGACTGCATGAACAGGGAGTTCTGTTCAGCCAATTACATATTTTTTTAGAAGTAGTTACATTTGGCGTCATCACAGTGGATAAAGAAGATAAGTCCGACACTGTACTGAACGGGATGAAATAATCAAATGGTAGTGGTGGTGGTGGTGGTGGTCAATTTATTCCAATTCCGCTAAGATATCATGTAACACACAAAGCTCTCGTCATCTTTAAGGTGAGTAATACAAATAGATCTAAATAAAGAACATTTATTGGGGCAACGGCCAATGAACCTAAAATAATGTCAGACACAATTATACAACCACACATTCACACAGGAACATCTGGGAGGAGACTCATGCAGGGGTTTCTCTGAAACTCAGCTAAGGCATGAGAATTCATACACAGAAAATAAAACCCCTCATGTGTTTTCAGGTGTTGGGGCATGTGCCCCTGGATACCACCAACATTGTAGGCAGAAAAGGAGGATGTGTGTCACGGTCAAGGAGCAGCCTCTGAGGAGTGGGGAGAGTGTTGGAAAACTGAGATCAAAAGATTAAGAGATCAAGAAGTGTGTTACACAGAGGGGTGCTTCTACAGTTGCCATGAAAAGACTTTGGAGCAACTCAACAAATTTGAACAAACAGATCTTTCTAATGAAAAACGTATCCACATACTGAGCCTGCTGCAACACATGTTGACTGAAAAAGCATCAGAACATTTAACTAAGAGTAGCAGATGGCTGAAATAGTTTAAAGTAATGAATAAACAGCTCAAATCGTTTGCTAAAACGGTTGAATAGAAAGCTAAAAGTAATGGATAAATAGCTGATAGTTAGCTTAAACTAATGTAATGGATAAACATTTGAAAAAGTGGGCTAAAGGTTGAAGATAAATTACATTAGCTGAAAGTAATGGATGAATATTTGAACAGGGGGGCTAAAGGTAGCCTATTAGAAAAATCAGAAAATGGCTACAATTAATTGATGGTTGAAATAGCTAGAAGTAGTTAATGTATAATGGTTGCAGCGTAGCTTAAAATATTTGATAAACAGCTGAAATAATTAGCTTTAAGTACCGTTAATGGACAACAACTGAAGGAGCTTAAAGTAGGCCTAATAGCTAAAAGGTTGACATATACAGTAGGTAAGTACTAGCTTTTGTGACAAGTAGTAAGAAGGCAAACTTGATCTCACCAAAACATTTACAGTTAAATTGTATGAAAAAAAACAGACAATATCCCTCCAGTTTCAATTAATTAAAATGAACACGTTTGGTACATGACAGGAGGTGTTTAGAAAGGGGTATTTGAGTTCATCTGACTGGGCGGTGGTGGTACATTTAAAATAAAAATGTTGGAAACCCATCTTGTCTGTGGTCTAAGCCAAAAGAATTACAACCAGGAATAAAAGTGAAAACTGACTAAAAACTACTGTATTTGAAACATCATCCTGACTGGGGAGATAAGGATGGTAGGATGTAAACAAGCCTCATGTATGCAGCTACCTGTTCTCAGTATGCCATCTAGTGTACAGATGCGATGAGTTGACACCTTGTCATGGTGCCTTTTGGACAAAAAACATCAAGACAACAAATTAATTATGAGATGCCTTTATTGTATTTTTTGGAATCCAGTGACACCGACACGAGAAAATGGTCCTATATCCCTCCCTCCCCCATTACATACACAACCTGAGAGGGAGGGGCTGCAGGGTGGGATGTACCGTGATCCCGCTTGTAGTCTTAAATTAAACACAGAGATAATAGTGAAGACACATCCGGGTGCATTTCCACAGACACGCACGACATGCATTCAAAAAGGGACTTCAAGGAACGCAGTGACTCCTGGTTCACATGTACGCTTTGTCTCAAAGTAAAAAGACGACAAAATTAATACCACTTAAAAAAAAAAAAAACAGCTCTCTTTATGGCCCACGATCAGTCTATAATAATTCAGGCTCTGTCAATTTTCCACTTACAGGAGAAAACAAAAAAGGCAAAGAGACACACTACTATTCATACTGAGGAAAATGGTTTAAATATGGAAGTGGATGGTTCATACCTTTCATATTTTAGTTTTTTTTAACTGTTTTTTAATTAATGGTATACTTTAATGAGAATACAATTATCTCACTAAAAATCAGCTCATCTAGGTAAAACTAGGCCTTTTCCACTGACTGTCTCCCTGCTGTATCTAAGTAAAATATATAAAGTCCAGTCGAGGGGCTCAGTGGGCCGTTGGTCCAATCACGAGTGGTTCACTTCAGTCGTCCTCGCTGCCACTAGCTGAATGCTCCTGAAAAGAATAGGGAGAAGAATTATTACGGGCATTTTGTCGTCTTTATGAACTGCATCGGTATGGCTTGCACATCCCGATGCAGTTCAAACACTGGATATCGACTACATGCAGTCATGTCATAACTGTCACCAGAGAAAAAAGGCTATTCAAATTAAACTATTTTTATTTTCGATTAATCGGCCAAGTATTTCCTTGATTCATTGGTTGGTCTGTTAAATGTCGGAAAAGATTATATTAAATGCCAATTACATTTTCCTGAACCTGTTGTTTGACCAACAGGCCAAAGCCTAGAGATAAACAGTTCACTTTCACATAAACAAGCTAAATGAACAAAGAAGAGCAGGAAATCCTCACATTTGAGTAACCAGAACTGGGACAGAACAATAAATTACTTATAAAAGTGGATGCCAAATAATTGTCCATCAATCGACTTATTTTTTACATGGAAATATCTTTGATGCATACGGACCCGACCTCTGGAGAAATAACAGACAGCAGAAACATAAAACATAACCAACATGAACAATGAAAAAACTGCATTCAGAGTGATGTCATAAAATTCCTCGTTTTGTCTGACATTCAGTTTACATGGATTTAAAACAGAGAAAAGCAGCACATCCTTTAAACAGGCTAGAGCCAGGGAACTGTAGATGAACTAAGTGATTATTAAACTAATCGTTTCAGCACCTTTTATAGTGCGGATCCATTTTAACAAATCGTGCTGTGTTCATGCACTACAGGTGACTTCATATTAACTGAGTGCTCACTTACTATTACTCCACAGAGAGGATTGTTAAAGTTTTATATTTACTTTATTTAAAGCTTTTAAAGTTGGGGTAGGCAATTTACTTCATAAGCATTTTTTTGTTCTATTTATTTAAATTCTCTTTACATCCCAATAGCAATCAATAAATCAAATGCTCTGTCGCAGGACTGTAATAGGAACAGCCAATCAAAATGATTGGCAGGCTGACTTGCCTGTCTACCTGTGAGCACTCATTGTGCATGAAAATGTGTTTCAGGGGAGAGGCTTTGGATGGGGGCCTGAGGTGAGGGGTGGACTTTTTCAGTTGGATACTTTAAATCTAAATCTCTTGCTAGTTTCCCCAACATTACCCACCCTAGCTTCAGTAAGAAGGTGCCTCTTTATACCAACATTCTCAGTGTTTCATTCAGAGAGAAGATGTTTAAGGTTTATGTTGTTATTCTCGTATGTGCACGTCTCGTCTCACCTCTTCACAACAATGAGGGAGTACAAATCTTAAACAGAAAATAAATAACATTTCAGAAGACTATTCATCATCTTTGAACATCTAATTGTTACATAATAATGCAACAAACACTGTGAAAGAACACACAGAGCTGATATTTACCGATGGCCTTGCAGGCTCTGGTTGCCGGGTCAACTTGGTAACCCTCCTCACATTGGCATTTGTAACTGCCTATCTGGTTGATGCAGATCTGGCTGCAGGTGTCCGGGTTGGCACACTCATCGATATCTGATTCAAAGATGAAGAAAAAAATGAAATCAGCTTTTCCGTCACAGGAGCAATGCTGAGTTACTGTGTCCATTAGAATTACGAGATCCCTCTTTATCTGACAGCACAGTCATGGACGCGGACAACTTTGCGTCAGAGTAAACATATCATTTGCAATCATTTGTTAATCTGACTGAAGTTCACGTTAGTATGAAAACTGAAAGAGAACAGAAAAAAGCACAATGATCTTTGATATTCTAAGTGCTTCTAATTGTGGGAGTCTGTTACCTTCACAGCGTTTTTTTTCAACCAGGCGGTATCCAGCAGGACACAGGCACTCATAGCCGATCTTCAGGTCATTGCAAATATGTGAGCAGCCGCCGTTGTTGTACAGACACTCATTAAAGCCTGCAGTGGGCAGAAGAAAAGGTTTATCGTCTTTTATTCTGAGGTCGTACAGTAATTAGCATTCTCAAGCTGCAGACACCCTCATTAAATACATAAAAGTAGTAATTAACCAGACGTTTATGAATGAGAGGCCTCTTGCACTCAACACATTCCCTAAGAGGCTCATCTGACCAATCCCTGCAGTCACGCCACTGCGGCACTTAAACCTGGTTGGGCCCTCACAGTGGGTTGCTGTGCATGAGAAATAAAGATTCAGTTGTAGACACAGATGGAGAGTTTGAAGTTCATTTGGCTGGTAACGATCAGGAGAGGAAGGGTAAGGCAGGAGATTCATACCATTGACACAGCCAGTTTCATCACTCATGTCCTTGCAGTCCTATTGATGGTTGCACTGGCGGCTCCCATTGAAATGAGTACAAGAGATGATGACAAACTAATGACAGCATGTAATTAACAGGAAAAGAAGAATTTGTTAGTCACACTTACCACAGTCAGCTTCATCTGATCGATCGGGGCAGTCAACTCCCCCATCACACTTCCAGCTGCCGTGGATGCATTCGCCGCTGCCACAGCGGAACTCCAGGGATGAGCAGTGATTAGTGGCAACAGTGTCAAGTGTCTTTGTACCACAGTTCTGGGGCCACTCGTCCGAGCCGTCTGAGCAATCGGCGTCTCCGTCGCAGGCCCACAGGCGTGGAAGACAAACGGTGTTGTTACACTGGAAGGACGTGGCGCTGCAGGTGACGGGCGGGCAGGAGGCCTCGTCGCTGCCGTCGTCACAGTCAGCCTTGTTGTCACACACGAAGGAGGATGACACGCATTGTCCGTTCCTGCAGCGGAACTCTGTGTCTGTGCACTGCTTTGGCGCTAAGAGAGAGGAGATATAACAGGGCGATGAGAGTAATGAAAGACCAGGAACACTTTAGAGCAGGGAGGAAGGGAGGGGATGAAAGCTGTGGATTCTGAGAGCAACGAAACAAGATAAATCACATATGATTGAGGAAATGGTGAGACAGATGTGTGGGCCTCCTGCAGATTGTGGTCAGCTCGACTCACCACAGCTCTCTTCGTCAGCTCCATTCGCGGTTGGTCTGAATTTTTGCCTCGCGACGCTTTCCTCGCGTGAGTACATTCGCTACAGGTGTTCACACACAACGCGAGAAGGCGATTTTAACGTGATAACGTGAATAAACACAACTCGCCATTACTACAACTTCTATTGACAAAATTTACATACAAAGTGGCATAGTACAAACCAGTGTATAATTAACAAGGGAACAGACAAGATGATGTACACTGAAAATAAATAAATAAACAACCAACCCAAAAAGTAAATAGGGGAGGGGGGGGGGGGGGGGGTAAGGAGTAAAGTAACAAAGTGTTTGAATAAAGCTAGGGATTTTCTGTAAGCTTCATCAATTAACTTAGAGAGCTTAATAGCATTATTTTTCTTAATATGTATAAGAGATGAAAAGTAAAGACACAGCTTCTTCTGAAAAATGTAGAAATTTGGCCTCGATTTCATGAATTTGCGCCATTACTACAACTGTATGACCCCAAAGTAAACATTTTGCTGTGATTAAATAGCAATAAACGGATTAAACTGATGCCGAAATAACTACAACATGATACAGATTTGTTAAACATATGAATTCATGCTTTGTCAGGTCTGCCAGCAAGACAGCAGGACAACAACCTCTAAAATGTTTCTTTTCTGAGTAGAGTTTGGTAGTGATGGCGAGATGAAGCGTCATGAAGCACTGAAGCTTTCCATCCAATTGGCTCACTCATGGGCCGAAGCTTCACGGTGCTTCATTTGCTCTACTGTGCCATCAAGTGGACAATAAATATAAAACAGGCAGAGTGACTAACGGCATGGCTTTGGTGTGTGAAGCTTTGAATTGAATAAATTAATGAATGATGTTTGTGATGCCAATACATGACTGACTAGCTTTTTTATAAGGTGTCTGTCTTTATGATACAACGACAGGGTCAAAAGGAAAGTGGAAACAAGGGAGAGGGTTATGATAACTTGGTTTGTTGAGATAACAGAGACAACATTATATTAATCTTTATTTAAAAACAACAGTTCCACAGTGCTGGGCTTCAGGCGGTTTCTGTTTTGGAGATGATTTTACCTGCTTTAGAAAATTATTAGGGTAATATGGGGTAAGAGTTTAATTCTTACCAAAGCCACAAAATGTAAAGAAATTTCAACACTTTCTTTTCCTCTGTTTCATCACAATTTTTGAAGTTATTGATCAAAGCAATTCTGACATAAGTTGATAAACTTTTTTAGTAGTTAAAATGAGCTGTAGATAAAATCTAATTGTGTTCGATCAAGTCCACAAAATGTTGAGTAGGGTCCATTGCATTTTCGAATCGCACGCCAAACCCGCAAACCATCTCCGCACGGCGTCACCACATACGTCATCAATACGTGCTCCACAAAAATCATCATGCATTAGCCTACTCGACACACGCTTCGAAGCCTCGATACGGACGGACACATAACTAGAGTTTGGATCGATCAGGGCTATGCTATGCTAACTTGGTCACAGTAAAGTACAATGATAGCTGGAATAAAGTTACAGACACATGTTTTCTGAACTAACCAGGTAGTTCAACCTCCTCATTTTCTTTTCTCAAAGTAATGTCCAGTTTTGTCCGGTTTTTATATAAATATGATGTCGTAGCTAATGACGCTAAAAACAACACTGGAACCGGATGTGTACGGAAGCTAGCTGCTGAGAAGCTCCAGTGAAGAAAAATCAACGTTGAAATCCCAAAAACTAAAGTAAAGAGCTAATTTAATAAAAGCAGTTAACTCCGAGCTCCTCCCGTGAGTAAACAGCGTAGTTGTCAGAGCAGAATCCGACCGACTACAGGTGTTTATTTGTCAAATGGTTGCAGCGCTGCTCCCTGCTCCTCTGCCCCAAGTTTAGCAGCTCTCAGCCGGCCAGCAGATTTTCAATCCCCCGCTCTGCCTGGTCCTCTCCACACAACGCTCTGAAGCCTCAGTGACGTACGGACAATCTCAACACTGATAGGCTATCGCGACTCAGTGTCATGCGACTTCTTCGCTGGAGTTGAAAATATTCAACTCACACGAATTCCTTTGTGTCGCCGGGCCTGCACCCTTCAAGTCGTTTTGCGCCGGCCGACAGGAAATCGCGGCTCTACGCGTCTTTGCATTGTCTTTGTATGTAAGCTCACCGCCCCAAACGCTCGCTTCGCGTTTGGTCTGAAAGCACCATCACAGTCAGCTTTTCCATCACAGTGCCAGGTGCTCGGTACACACTGGTTAAGGCGGTCCGCCCAGCTGAACTCTGTCGGTCTACATGTTTTGGTAACTGGAAGTGAAATACACAGAAAACTGTAACTGACACTATGTACTCATCAGACTGAGGGACTGTGGGATTGACAGGTATGTGTGCAAAGCAATAACAAGTGCATTCTCATGTCGAGTGACATATGATACTCACGGCAGGTACCAGGAAGCTCATCTGTGCCGTCTCCACAGTCATCTGTGCCATCACACACCCATCTCGCTGAGATGCATTTCCCATTCCCACACTGGAACTGCTTGGTTCCACATGTTGTCAATGCATCTATGACAGACAGATATAAATGCACGGTTGAGCTAAAAGGGCCATTGTTTTAGTTATCATTTATCAGGGCCAATGCAGGAAGACTCCCCATAAACACAGACATGGCTGGAAGTATATTTAAAGAGGTGGTATTATGCTTTTTGGCTATTTCCCTCTCCATGTGAAAACATGACAGACTGCTGATTGGTCAGAGAGAATATTCATTATTCACTGCATCATCATTGCGTGCACCAGACAGAGACCAGCAACAGAAAGTTTTATAATTTATAGTTTTCGTATGGAATTTCATCACTAAATCCACTTCTGAGAAGTTTTTAGGTGAGAAATCAGCTGTGTAGATTTCCGACATTGACAGTTTTACGAGAACTGATGGCAGAACAAAAATGTGCTTGAATATTTTCGGAGTTGAGGAACTCCGCAAGTGGCTGCAGGGGAAGCCTGCGCCAAGCCGCTCACAGAGCCCTCTGCTCCCGCCGTCACACAGACCGCTGCAGCGAACAACGGCAGAGGAAAACACAGCTGGAAGGTTTTCATACCGCTTCTCTGTCTTTACATTCTGAGTAATGTTGAAACGTTTGAACTTAAAAAAGAGAAAGCTGTGTGGGTCGCTGGTGTGCGTGTCGCATTGAACATTACATCGCGGCAGTGGTGTTGGCGTCGCTATGACGACAAGCTACGTACTATCTCTGGGTACTATCTGCAATGGAGAACAGAGCAGGGTCGAGTCTATCGATTTGCGCTATGGTAGCATTTTTCGGCAAGGCAGCATAGATCGTCAGAACACCGGCAACAGTTCAATGTTTAGTCTTAAAAGACGATGCAACTCCAACTCTGTTTGGGCCTGGAAATTCCCAATCACAACCTGTAAGTATGCTTTATTGGTTGTGAATTATATTTAAAATAAACACAGCAATGTAACTTCACAGACTGTTCAGTGCGGAGTTGTTGTAAATGTTGGCTAACACAGCTAAAGTTATACTTTTAATATTAAAATTACACCCGATGTGAAAGCTACTGAGCAAACGTTGAAATTGTTTGGCCAATTTTTATGTAAAATTGAGTTGAAATATGTTGATTTTTGTAGTTGTTTATGGTAAGATGTGGAACAATGATGTTGTGTAGTTGTGGACTTGTGAGAAACTGCTAAGGGTTAAGTCTGCTTACGGTCGCAGTCTGAAGCGGCTTCTCTGCTTCTGATTGGCTAGTAGTCCTTACCTGGGAATTGCGCATGTGAAACTCCCAACAAAGATTTTTTACAAGTAAGATGTATCACTCTGTAGCTCAAGAGTGGAGCGTACAACACACAGGATGAAAAGAGGAGCTGCAGCAATGTGTAGTATGAGGAAAAATATGGTGTTTTTTGAAAATTAAACCATGTAATCCTGTTCTAGTACAACCCCTAAATAAGATTTTGAACCTGAAAATGAGCATAATACCACCTCTTTAAGTCACATAAAATAATAATTCTGCAGAAAGCAATTAAACAAGACTAAAAGTCTGCAGCCATGCTAGCAGCTATGTGAAGAGGCACAGCAGTGCTTTGAGCTAATTGCTAAAGCTAGCATTACCACATGCTAACAATAAAAATACTAACATGCTGATGTTTAGCAGGTCTGTTTACCATGTTCACTCTCTTAGCTGAGTGTGCTAGCATGCTAACCTGTGCTATTTAGCAGTGTACATAAGCTACAGCTGAGGATGATGGGAATGTCATTAGTTTTACAGAATATTTGGTCATAAATCAAAGTGTTGGACAAATTTAAGTTTTAAGCCGGATGATGACGCTAAAGGAAAGGTTAAGGGAAACCCTGAAGTTATTACAATTCATCCTGAGGAACGCATGAACATGTTGAGACATTTCACCCAAAT